AATAACAACACGTGTGCACGATACACCTGTATAGGAAGGAGGAGGGGGGGACGGGGGGGAGGGGGGAAGTGGTGTACATTATACATAAATGTATATAAAAAAAGGCCAAAAAAGAACTAAATGAATAAATATATAAATATTTTGATGAAAAACAAAGAAAATTGAATATTTATTCATAAAATAATTAAAAAAATGAATAAAAATGACCGCAGGTTTAGCCAGTAGCAGCACAGGCGCCGCCGACAGAGAATCAGCATGCAGAAAGAAGAAAGCAGAGGAAAGCGGCCTTAAATTCAAATAAAAAAGAATTTTTTTTGGATAATTTAATTTATTTTATAAATTAAATTAAATATATAAGAAAATATTTATAAAAAATTGATTATTTATACATAAAATATACGCAAATTGATGACAGATTGTATGATTATTGTATTGATTGTTCACGTCTTGTGTCGCGTCGGGCTGCAGCAGCCGCTTCTGTTGTATATTTTCTAAATATATTGAATTAATTTTATATTTTTCTTCTTTTTTTAATTAAATTAATTAAATTCTTTTATTATTATCATTAATTACTGTCGGTTTCCGCTTATTCCTCCCGCGGGCTCCCTGTGTTTCCTCCTGTCTTCTCGCGGGTTTGAATCACCGCGCCGCTCTTTTTCCTCCTTAATCTTCTTTATAGCGATAAAAAGACTTTTAAATCAATAAATAAACCCTAAACTCTAAACCCTAAACCCTGAAACAACCGCCATTTGCTGCTATTATAGCAACAGCAAGCTCAGATATGCTGCCGCTCTGCATGCATGCGGCATATTTCCTGCTGCTGTCCTCCTAGCCACAGCAAATGGCGTTATTCTCTGGTATGTCTATTAGGGGGCCCCATAAGGACCCCCAAAACAGCAACAACAGCAGCAGCAACAACAACAGGGGGGCCCCTCCCCAGCAGCAGAAGGTACCTGACAACACTGCAGCTCCAGGAGGGGGACCCCATGGAGCACAGGCTCCACCAGGAGCAGCAGTAGCACAGCAGCAGCAGCAGCAGCAGCAGAAAGTTCCTGCAGCAGCAGCAGCAGCAGCGCCTGAAGGCAATGCCTTCACCAGGGCGGCATCTTCTGCATTTTCTTTTCTCTTTAAAGGAGGATCGGATACTGCCTCCCGCCCTGTCCAGCCGCAGCAGCAGCAACCAGCAGCAGCAGCAGCAACAGCAGCAGCAGGAGCAACAGCACCAGCTAGAGCGCCAGCAACAGCAGCAGCACGTGCAAAGGCTCCTGCAACACGTGGAGGGTATCGACCTCCAGAGGGGCCCGCTTTCTTTGGGGGGGCCCCCGACATGCATCATCCCTCGCATGCAGCAGCAGGAAGCAGCAGACTGCAGCAGCAGCAGCAACAGCAACAGCAATCGCAGTACGTTCAGCAGCACCGACTGCCGCACCAGCTGCAGCAGCAGCCGCTGCAGCAGCCCCATCATCAGCAGCAGCATTACGCCGCACCGCAGCACCAGCCGCAGCAGCAACACCAGCAGCAGCAACAGCAGCAGCGCAACTGGGGCAGCAGTTCAATGGGGGCCCCTGTAGGGGGTACAGATGATGCTTTAGAGTTGCTGCAGCATGCCCTGCAAAAGGGTACCAGGGGCCCCCTGGGGGGCCCCTCTCCTAGTGAAGCATTACCTGACGGTCTTTTTCTTTATAATGAAGCATCTGCAGTATCAGGGGGGCCCCCACTGTACCCTGGGGGCCCCCCCACGTACCCTGCGGGGGGCCCTCTGTACCCTGGGGGGCCCCCCACCTCGGTGCCGCTGCCGCAGCCCTCCAATATTCAAAGGAAACCAAAACGCTCAGTCGTCCCTGGCTTAGCGGGCTGGCAGCAGCAGCAGCAGCAGCAGCAGCAAATGCAGCAGCAGCAGATGCAGCAGCAGCAAATGCAACAGCAGATGCAGATGCAGATGCAGATGCAGCAGGAGCAACAAATGCAACAGCAGCAGCAGCAGCAGCAAATGCTGGAGATGCAACAGCAAATACAGCAGCAACAAGAGCAGCAGCTGCAGCAGCAGGAGCTGCAGCATCAACAGCAGCACGAAGATGGACAGCCTATTGCCGGCCATCAAACAGAGCCTCTTCATCCGCAGCAGCAGCAGCAGCAGCAGCAAGTGCAGCAGCAGCAAGTGCAGCAGCAGCAGCAGCAGCAGCAGCAGCACATTAATGCCTCCGATGCCCGTTTTTTTTCTGGTTGTTGCACAACAATGCCTCCTTCTCCTTCAGCCTCCCGTGCAGCAGCAACACCAGCAGCAGCAGAACCTGCTGCTGCTGCTGCTGCTGCTGCTGCTGCTGCTCCTCGTCTTGCTGCTGTTAATTTTTCTTTATTTAACGAAGCAGCAGCAAGAAAGACAGGAGAATTAGAAAGTTTTTATTTTATTTGCCGCAGCAACGCGCAGCAGCAGCAAAAAGAAATTATGAATAAACTTCTTGCTGCTGCTGCTGAGGAAGCACAGCTGCAGCAGGTAACCTGCTGCTGCTGATGCTGCTGCTGATGCTGCTACTTCTGCTGCTGCTGCTTATGCTGTGTATTTGTGCTGCTGTTGCTGCTGTTGGTGCTGTGCAGGCGTGCTGCTGCTGCTTGTGCTGCTGCTGCTCTTGCTGCTGCTACTGCTTCTGTTGTCTGTGCTGCTGTTGTTGCTTGTGTTGCTGTTGCTTTTGCTACTCGTCTCACTGTTGCTGCTGCTCTGCTGCTGCTGCTGCTTACTCTTGACCTCTGCTGCTTCTTCTGCTGCTTCGTGTTGCTGCGCAGGAGGCTGCAGCACTGCGACAGGAGCAGCAGCAGCTGCTGCAGCAGCAAGAAGAAGCTGTTGCAGTAGAAGACTTTGCTGCTGCAGCAAATGCAGATGAACGACTGCAGCAAACAGCAGAAGAGGTTTGTTTTTCTTATATCTTTTCTCCTGAACCTGCTGCTGCTGCTGCTGCTGCTGCTTTTGTTGCTGCTGCTGCTTTTGCTGCTGCTGCTGCTGCTGTCTTCTTATGTGTGCTGCTTTTAGAAGTATCTGTTCTTTATTGATATTCGCGCTGCTGCTGTGTCTGCTGCTGCTGATGCGGTTGCTGCTGCTGCAGCTGAGCTCAGTGCAGCTGCGCTCTCTGCATATGAAGCAGCAACAGCAGCAGCTGCTGCAGCAGCTAGCGAGCATCGCGGATCATTTGCAGCAGCAGCTGGTGGATCTGCAGCAGCAGGCAACTGGAGAACGGGAACAACTGCAGCAGCAGCTGCAGCAGGAGCTGCAGCAGCAAACAGAACTACAGAGCCGATTAAGAGATGAAATAGAGGAGGTAACAGCAGCAGCAGCAGCAGCAACAGCAGCAACAGCAGCAGCAATAAAACACTTGAATAGCTACGAATGTTGAGCTTGCGTCTTTATGCCTACTTGTCTTGCTGCTGCTGTTGCTCCTGCTGCTGCATGCGCTGCTGCAGCGGTTGCAGCAACTACAACAGGAAGCAGCCGGTTATGAGGAGGCAGCAGAAGCAGCAGCAGCAGCAGCAGCAGCAGCGGAGGAAAAGATGAAGAAGACACAGAGCGAAGAAGCAGAGACATTGGCAGCATTGGAGCAGCAGCGAGTGTGAGCTGCATGCACACTGCAGCAGCAGCAGCCGCTGCTGCTGCTGCTGCTTCTGCTGCTGGCAGCTACCGTGTTGCTGCTGTTACTGTTGTTGCTGTTGCTGCTGCTGTTGTTGCTGCTGTTGCAGTTGTCTGGACTTGTTTTTACTCTGTGTTGCTGTTATTTCTACTGCGCTTGCTGCTGCTGTTGCAGCAGCTATTGCTGCTGCTGCTGCTGCTAAGACGGCGCGCAGCAGCAGCAGCAGCAGCAGTTCATTGCCCCCTTTTGTTTCTTTTTTATGTTTTTTTTACTAAGAGTGCTGCAGCAGCAACTAGAGGAGACAAAGAAGCAGCTGCTGCAGCTTGATGAGGCTGTAGCAGCAGAAAGGGCACGGGTAGAAAGGTAAGGGAGAGCGTTGCTGCTGCTGCTGCTGCTGTTGCTGCTGCTGTTGCTGCTGCTGTTGCTGCTGCTGTTGCTGCTGCTCTTCCTCTTTCGTTCTTTTGTTTGCCTGTGTGTTTTTGTTATTCATTTTGTTTATGCGAGTCTTGTGCTGCTGCTGCTGCTGTTGTTGTTGCTGTTGTTGTTGTTGCTGCTGCTGCTGCTGCTACAGGGCATCAGCTGAGGCGGCGGCGGAGGAGATGCGTTCCCGGCAGCAGCAACAGCAGCTGCAGCAGCAGCAGCAGCAGACAGCCATGGAGATGGAACAGGTAAATAGCAGCAGCTGTAACCCCAACAGTAGCAGCAGCAGCAGCGACAGCAGCAGCAGCAGCAACAGCAGCAGCAGCAGCAGCAGCACTAATTAAGGAATTATTTTGGGGCTTTTTTTGTGTGCATGCAGCTAAATAGCCAACTGCAGCAATTAGAGGAAGAAGAAATTATTTTATCCAAGGCTAAGGAAGAGTACGTTATTTATTTATTATTTATTTATTTTATTTATTTATTTATTTATTTATTTATTTATTTATTTATTTATTTATTTATTTATTTGTTTACTCCGTGCCTCTCCTCTGTCTTTTTTTTATATATTTAGATATAAATAAATAAATAAGTAAATAGATTAATTAATGCCTCTGCTGCTGCTTCTGCTTCTGCTGCTGCTGCTGCTGCTGCTGTTTCTGCTGCTGCAGTGGTGCTGCAGCAGTATCTCGTTGTTCTTCCTTGATAGATTTCCTTAAGGAAAGAAGAAATTTCTTCGGGTGTATGTACACCCCAAGAAAAAAAACAGCTAATTTACCTATTAAATATATTAAACAATTAAAGGATAAACAGTAAATATATACATGCTGCTGCTGCTCCTGTTGCTGCTGCTGTTGTTGCTGCTGCTGCTCCTGTTGCTGCTGTTGCTGATGCGGATGCTGTTGACTCATCGCTGCTGCTGCTGTTACTGTCTTATTGATGCTGCTGCTGCTACTACTACTTCTTTATTACTGCTGCTGCTGCTGCTGCTGCTGCTGCTAGTTCTTCACTACTGCTGCTTCTGCTGTCTTGTTGCTGCTGCCTGTTGTTTGGTGTTTGCATGCGTCCTGCTGCTCCTCTTCTTATTTCCTAACCAGCAGCTGCTTATGATGCTGTTGCTGTTGCTGCTGCTGCTGCTGCTGCTGTTTCTTTCTCCGTTGTAGAGAGCTACTGCAGGAGTTGGGCCGCCAACAAAAAGAGCTGCAGCAGCAGCAGCATGAGGCGCAGCAACAGCGGCTGTCTCTTTGTGGGGAGCAGCAACAGCTGGAGTTGCTGCTGCCTGTGCTGCAGCAAGAGAAGCAGCTGTCTATACACTCGAGGGACTTCAAGACAGCAGCCTCTCTAGCTGAGAAAATACAAGTTCGTTTTGCTGCTGCTGCTGCTGCTGCTGCTGTTGCTGCTGCTGTCGCTGTTGCTGCTGCTGTCGCTGTTGCTGTTGCTGTTTCTGCTGCTGTTGCTGTTGCTGTTGCTGCTTGTGTTTTGCTGCTGGTGCATGCCAAGCGGCTATCTGCACTGCCTAACGCTGCTGCTAGAGCTACCTCTACGTGTGTTGCTGCTGCTGCTGCTTGTGCTGCTGCTGCTGCAGGAGTGCTCAGGGAAGATCGACAGCCTGAAGACGAAGTCGGCTGAATTGGAGGCGCAAAGAGCGCAACTAGCAAATGTAGGGTTTGGCCAGGGTTTAGGGTTTAGGGTTTAGGGTTTAGGGTTTAGGGTTTAGAGTTTAGGGTTTAGGGTTTGATGCGTAAATATAGAGGGCATATGGAGAGGACCTACTAGTGTTGGCTAGAGGCCGTTGTATGTTTTGTGTATATAATGGTTCTTAGGGTTTAGGGTTTAGGGTTTAGGGTTTAGGGTTTGTCTGTGTGACAACAGTGCCTGTCTGAGTTGGGTGCTGAGTTCTCTGCTGCAACAGCAGCAGCAGCAGAAGTAGAGGCAAAGGCAGCAGCAAGAATATTATTATCTGCACAATATATGGAGAAAAAGATTCAAAAATTAAGAGCTAAATGCCCTGATGATAGAGACCAGGTAAACCCTAAACCCTAAACCCTAAACCCTAAACCCTAAATAGAGCAATGCATGCGGAGTTGGCTTCAAAAAGAGACTATCAACAACTGTACATACAGAAAGTTGCTGCTGTTGCTGCTGCTGCTGCTGCTGTTGCTGCTGCTGCTTCTTTTGCATTTGCTGCTTGTGCTGGTGTTGCTGCTGCTGCTGCTGCAGCGACTAGCATTGAGCCTGGAGGAGGAGGGCAACATGCTGCAGCAACTAGTGGAGTTGCTGCGGCCAGGAGCAACAGCAGCAGCAACAGCAGCAGCAACAACAACAGAGGGATCTGACGTCTCTCTTTCAGGAGAGAGCGACGACGACAGCAGCAACAGTAGCAGCAGCAGTAGCAGCAGCAGCAGCAGCAGCAGCAGCAGCGATACGACCGGAGATGCAGCAGAAACAGATAGTAACATAAAAACAGAAAAAGAAGAAATAAAGAAAGACGGTCAACACACACCAAGAACGGATACAGGGACACACGCAGCAGCAGCTGCTGCTGCTGTTGCTGCTGCTGCTGCTGCAGTAGCGGCCGCCGAAGAGGCAACGGGCGCCCCAATGGCGACTGATGCAGCAGCAGACGGCGCCGCCAATGCAACAGAAGCAGCACAAGAAGATGCAGCAGCTACAGCAGCTACAGCAGCAGCAGCTGCAGCAAGTACAGCAGCAGCAGGAAGCGATGATACTTCTTCTGGCGCAGGTAGCCAAGAGGGACCCGCAGATAGTGCAGCTGCGGAAGATGTACCTGCTACAGGAGCAGCAGCAACAGCAGCAGCAGCAGCTGTTGCTGCTGCAACGGCCGCAGCCATAGATGGCATAGCTGCTCCCCATGAGTCATCTGCTGGCGACGAGCCGTCCCTGGAAAAGCAGCAGCAGCATGAGCAGCAGCAGCATGAGCAGCAGCAGCATGAGCAGCAGCAGGAGCGACGGCAGGAGGAGCGACAGCAGCAGCAGCGACAACAGCAGCAGGGATCTGCTGCAGCAACTGGAGGGCTATTTGCTGGACTGGCGCTCAAGGCTTCCGGACCCTCGAAAACTTTGCTGCAGCCGGAGCAGCAGCAGCAGCTGCTGCACCAACAGCAGCAGCAGGGCAATGGAGTCTATCAAGCTGCAGAAGCAACGGCACCAGGACCAGGGGAGGCAGAAGCAGCAACGGCAACAGCAGCCGCAACACCTGATGCAGCGGGGGGCGCAGCAACGGAAACAGCAAGGAAGGAGCAGCAAATAACTGCAGCAGAAGAAGCAGACGACAAGCGGGAGGCTGCTGCTGCCGCGGAGACGCGCAACGCTGAAACAGCAGCAACAGCAGGTACCGTGGCAGCAGAGAGAGAGGAAGCTGCAGCAGGAGAGGCAGCTGCAGCAGAAACAGCCGAGAAGGCAGCTCCAGAGCGAGTAGCAGGAGAGGCAGCAGCAGCAGAGGCAGCAGCAACAGAGGCAGCAGCAGCAGAGGCAGAAGCAGAAGCGCCTGTCGCAGCAGCTGCTGCTGTTGCTGCAGTTGAATCTGCTGCGGAGTCTGCAGCGCCCGAAATACCAACGGACACAGCTGCAGCAGCAGGTGCAGCAGCAGCAGCAGCAGCAGATGCAGCAGCAGCAGCAGATGCAGCAGCAGCAGCAGATGCAGCAGGCACAGAGGCTGCAGCGGAAGCCGATAATCTTTAGGGAAGGATGAAATCTGGTTTGCTGCTGCTGGTGGTGCTGAGTCTATCATCGTAGCACCGCAGCAGCAGAGGCTGCAGCAACAACAACAACAACAGCAGCAGCAGCAGCAGCAGCAGCAGCAGAATTGTCTTTTTGGGGGCGCTTTGCCCGAGTGTTTTGTTGATTCTCTGCTGTTTGTTAAACAGAAATAGAAGAGAAGGAATTCTTAAACCAAACGAACTTCTAGGGTTTAGGGTTTAGGGTTTAGGGTTTAGGGTTTAGGGTGGGGAATGTAAGGGTTTGCGAATGGCGCGTAGATGATGGCTTGGGGTTTAGGAGTCGGTTGGTTAAGGGTTTAGGGTTGTTTGCCTTAGGGGTTGTGGCTTGTTGTAGGTTGTAGGGTTTGCATTAGGGTTTTTTAGGGTTTGCGTTAGGGTTTGAATTAGGGTTTAGGGTTTGGCGTTTAGGGTTGGTGTGTATTCACTTCCTGAGAGAAGGGTTTGCTTCAATCTGCAAGGGTTTAGGAATTAGGGTTTGGGGTTTGTGCTCCCGGCTGCAGTGCATGGGGTCTAGGGTTTAGAGTTAGGGTTTAGAGTTTGTGGCTAAAGAGTGTGTAGTACAAACCCTTAACCCCCACAGACAGCAGCTGCTGCTGCAGCAGCTGCTGCTGCTGCAGCAGCAACAAAAGCAACGCCAGCAGGAGCCAATAAGGTAACAGCTACACTGCGCTGGATGATGCAGCTATGAAGAGTGCAGCTCCAGCAGCAGCAGCAGCAGCAGCAGCGACGGAAACCGCGCCAGCAGCAGCAGCAGAAGAGGAGCAGATTAATAGCATCACTACGCCCCGATGAATTCCCGTGTGCTGCTGCTCTTATTTGTGCTGCTGCTGTTGCTGCTGCTGCTGTGCTGTTGGTTATTGTGCTGTCCTTCTGCGTCTGTCCCTGTAGCATTATTTGTTTTCTTTTTTTCTTTTATTTATTTATTTCTTTTTTCTTTCTTTCCTTTACGGTGACACTACCGAGCTTTATGTGTCATAAGATCAGCACCTCCCGCTGCTGCTGTTGCTGCTGCTGGTGCGGCAACAACAGGAGCAGCTGCTGCAGCTCTGCGTCAAAATGCAATTCGTGCTGCTGTTGCTGTTATGCCTGTCGGTGTTTCTCTGTACCTCTTGCTGCTCTTGCTGCTCCTATTGCTCTTACTTCTCTGAATTGCTTGCTACTCGTGCTGCTGCTGCTGCTACTGCTGCTGCGGGAGCTCGTTCGTGCAGCAGAAAAGCGTATCCAGTGCTTAAATATGTTGTTGTTCTTTTGTGTATAAATTTAAGACAAAAATGTAAAGAAATACATCATGGATTCATGGATAGATAAATAATAATAATGACAAAAGAAAGAAAACACCGAAAAAAAAAGATGAAAAATAGAAAGGTAGTTCTTTTATGTTAGTTCTTCCTTTTAAATCCTTTTCCTCTCTTTGTATTTCTTTTTCCTCCTACCCGCTTCTTACCATTATATTATATATTACCCGCCGCATGCAAAGAGCCAACAAATAATATTAATATTAATAAATTAAAGGATTTAAACATTTAAAAATAGTAAAGAAGAACAACTTGCATATATTAAATACAATTCTCCTCAGTCTTCATAGAATTGAGGAGCAGCTGCAGTAAGCTCCTCCTGGGTAACAGCAAGCAAATTGTGTGGGGGTCCCCCTCCTCCTAGGGGTTTGCTTGTATCGGTAGCAAGCGGTGGGGGTGCCATGGGGGCCCCATAGAATACGGACAGCCCCGAGGGAGGGTACAACACGCTGCGAGGCCCTGTGGGCAACAAGTAGCTGCTGCTGCTGCGGTGCAGCAGCTGCAGCATATATGCCGATGGCTCCACCAGAAGTTGAGGATACACACCAGGAGGGGGCCCCACAGGGCTGAGACCCCCAAAGTGGTAGTACGGCGGCATTGCCCCGTTAACTGGGCCTAATGTACATCCTCCACAGCAAACGCTCATGTCATGCTGCTGCTGCTGTGGTTGGCGGTGGACCAGGAACTGCTGCTGATGCGCCGAATGTAAATGATGATGATGGAGCTGCTGGAGGTGCTGCAGCTGCTGATGCTGCAGAACCTGCTGCTGCAGGTGGTGGTGCCTCACCTGCTGCTGCTGTTGCTGCTGCGGCGGCTTCTGCTGCAGCAGCACACGAGTTCCTGTGTTTGCTCGAGCTGATGCATCCCCCAAGTAGGGAACAGGGGCCCTTAGGCCATCTGCCGCTAAAAAGGGTGCCGCACGTTCTTCCTGCTGCTGTTGCTGCTTCGCTTGTTGTTGTTGCTGCTGCTGGTTGGAGTGCCGCTGCTGTGCTGAAGTGTTTGGTGTTGCTGCTGCTGCTTCGTCTGCTTCTTGGGGCAACTGCGACTCTTCATGGGCCTGCGGCAGTCTTTGCTGCTCCAGGTCATCTCCCACGCCGCTGCATATTAGCTGCTGTTGTTTCTGCTGCGGCTGCTGCTGTTGCGGCTGCTGCCTCTGTGTTCGGGCACCTGGCGACACATGGGGCCCCTCACGGCCGGCGAGTCTTCCGTCTGTCTCCCTCAAGCCTTCACCCTTGCAGTGTGCATACGGTGCCGCAGCCCCTGGCTGCTGTTGCTGTTGCTGCTGGTGCTGCTGCCTCTCGGCCGACGGGGGCCCACCACCGGACCTGCGGTATTGTCGCTGGGCACCCTGTTGTCCTGCAGCAACAGACGCATTGCTGGCGGGCCCCCCTGTTTGTGCACAGCGTAGTGCATCAAATCCACCTGGGGGACCCTCGGGGCTCCCGCCACCGACTGCAGCAGCAGCAGCAGGCCCCCCACCGCCGAAGCGTCTTTGGCGTTCTTGTCTGTGGTTAGGCGGGCCCCCGCCTTGCTGCTGCTGTGGGCGAGAAGCAAGAGGCTCCTCGGCTCCTTCTTGTGACGAACGAGAGGGCCCAGTTGTTATTGAATTCTGGTGCTGTTGCTGCTGTTGCTTCCCCCATCTGTTAGTGCCTGTTGTATTTGCAGTCGAGTCGAGCTGCAGCGGGCCCCTCCCCCCTTTTGTCCACTGGCCTGTCTGTTGCAGGGCCCCTTCCCGCTGCTGCTGCCCTTCTTCTGTGGTGTATTTGCTGTCCAGGCCTCCCGGCCCTCCCCCAGCAGCGTCTTCCATAATGCCGCAGTAGGCCGCTCCTGCCTCTTGCATGCGAACATTCGGCTGCCTACCCCTCGGGCGCAAGCCCCGATTGCCCCCCTCTCTGCCTCTGGGGGCCCCTTCCAGGCCCCTGGGCCCCCCGTCCAGACCTCGCAGGCCTCCTTCGCGGGTACGAGGGCCCCCATCGAGTCCTCGGGGGCCCCCCTCCATGCCCCTGTGCCCGATGTCAAGGCCCTTGGGCCCCCCCTCTGGCCCCCTTTCCCCATGAGGGGGTTGCATCCCGTCAACAGCCCAAAGTGCCCCTCGACTGGCGTCTCGTGGGTGTCCTCGTCCTCCTTGTTGCCGCGGCGCTTGAGGTCCCCCATGATGAGGGGGCCCCCCTTGATGGGCGGAACCCCCGTGTTGAGGGGGGCCCCCATGATGGGAGGGTCCCCCGTGATGGGGGCCCCCCTGCTGGTGTGGTAGGAAGAGGTGAGTTCTCCTCTTTGGTCCATTTCTTAGTTCTGCATTAGAGTGAGCAAAGCTGCAGTGTGGGCCAAAGTTGCATTTTCCCTCTGCATACCACGGGCACATGCCTGTGCGCGGTGCATGCACATTTGGGGGGGAACCCGCCGCCGCCGCAGCAGCAGCTGCCGCCGCCGCAGCAGCAGCAGCAGCAGCAGTAGTAGCCGTAGAGAGGCTGCTGCTGCTGCTGCTGCTGCTGCTGCTGCTGCTTATGTTGTTGTTGTTGCTGCTGCTGTTGTTGTTGCTGCTGTTGTTGTTGTTGTTGTTGCCGCTGTTGTTGTTGCCGTTGTTGGTGTTGCTGTTGTTGTTGGTGGTGGTGTTGTTGTTGCCGTTGTTGTTATTGCTGCTCAAAGGAATGCGAACAACTCCAGCTCCACAAGCTCCCGGGTAACGGCTGTGGCCTGCCGTCATGCTGCTGCGACCCTGCTGCTGCTGCTGCTGCTGCTGCCGGCCGTGATGGTATTGCTGCGGCTGCGGGTGCCGGTGACGATGGGGTTGCTGTTTGGTGGTCCCGCTGCTGCTGCCTGTGTTCCCGTTGCTACTGCTGGAGTTCGCGTTGCTGCTGCTAGAGTTCCCGTTGCTGCTGCTGGAGTTTCCGTTGCTCGTTCTGCTGCCGAAGGCAGCAGCTGCCCGGTTGGCCTCGGCCTGCTGAGGTGCAGCAACGCCGCCTCTTGCTGTAACAGCTGCACCGGCAGGTACGGGCGCGGCGGCAGGAGCTGTCGGTTTTATAGGAGACTCTTCTGGATACCCTTCGTGGGGTTGCTTGTGCCCTCCTGTTGTTCTGATGCTGCTGAGAACACCAATAGGAGAGGGGCATCCATCATGCCGCTGCTGCTGTTGATGCTGCGCCTCATCCTCCTCTTGCTTTTGCTGCGGGTGCAGTTGCTGCTGTTGGTGCAGCTGTTTCTCCTGCTGCAGATCCTGGTGCTGCACTGAGGCCTCCATTGTAAGTGTGTAAGGGAAAGTAGCGCCTTTGCACCCGTAGACCTTCAAACAGGCATACACCTGCAGCAGCAGCAGCAAGACCAACACAGGTAGCAGGTAGCAGAAGCAGCAGCAGAAACAGTAGCTGAGACAAAACAAGTGCTACAAATAGGCGTCTTATTCGTCTCTTCCTTGGAGCATTCTTGTGTGCATACACCTCTGCCAAGCCACAACATGCATAGCAGACTGCAGCTGCACATGGAGCACCATAAGCTGTAGCAGCAGCAGCTGGAGCATCAGTCGCTGCAGCCGTAGCAAGGTCATCGAGTCACATCTCCTAGAAGCTACGCGTAAGCCACTTAACTTACAATTTACAGTAGCAGCAACAGGTGTAGCAACATGGCGGTGTTAGATGCCCTGCCTCCTCTGTGGCGTCTGTTCAGCCCTGCAGCAGCAGCAGAAGCAGCAGCAGAAGCAGCAGCAGCAGAGGCAGGTACAGAAGCAACGGCACAAGGAATCCACAAAAGCACAACTGCCTAATGAGACAACAGATTTAGCATGAAATTGCTGTCCACTACCTCCTGCTGTGCTGCTGTTGCTGTTGCTGAGTTAGAGCCCTCCTCAAGAAGGAAGTAGACATAGTGATTGCAACTGACACTAATGCTGGCAGTCCACAAACCCTCAACCCTAAACCCCAAAAACTGGGGGAGTCGAGTCTGCGGCACCTTCCCCGTCTTCTTGGGATTTAGGGTCTGGGGTTTATGGTTTGCAGAGGGAAAATGATGCATAAACGAAGTAGATTAAATTGTGATGTTGCTGCTTCATTACTTACAGGTAACCTGGAGGAGACGGAACTCGAAGGGAAAGGGAGCAGACTGACAGCGGATTAATTGCTGCTGCTGCTGCAACCCCCAGGCACCCCCCTACAAAAGCAACGAGAAAAACAACCCATTCAAGGTGGAACGCAGTTAAACGCAGGCACACACAAGGCTTGGTGGTGTTGCTTCTTCTTGTGTTGCTGCTGCTGCCCCGCCGCTGCTCCTCTTGCTGCTGCTGCTGCTCCTGGGTGTCGAGATAGCAGCAGCAGCAGCGCGGGCAGCAGCAGCAAACCGGCAGAATTTCTTGCACATTGCTTCCTTCTATTTGGATCGTTGGTGATAAATTAAATTTGCATTTAATGACGAAGAAAGCAGAGCAAAAAGACGAGGAAAACTCGAAACAACAAGGCGCTGGTCCGTGTGTGGCGTGCGCCTGCTGCGTCTGAATGGGGAGTTGTGCAACACTTAGCAACACTTAGGTAGTGTTGTTTTCGATTTTTCTCCTCAGAATCCAAACTGGATATTTTATCTTAAAAATATCATTTAAAAGGCACAAAAATATTAAAACCTGCCATTTACCCCCACTTTCCACTTTCGGCTGCTCGGTTCCCCGTGCTGCTCTGGGAGTGATTTTCGCACTTTTCCCCCGTTGCATCCTGTTATTCTTGGATTTAAAAATTAAATTATGGTTTTTAAATGCACAACATTAGTATTTAGGTGTCCACCTGAGCATCTACGATGTGTACAGGAAAAGTGGGGAAGACTACGCGGAGGGGCTCCTCGGTGCTCCCGTGCAGAGTTTGTTTGCTGAGCACTTCCCTGCGAGTCGCGGGCATATGGCTGTTAACTGTGGTAATTTATTCGGTTTTGTTTTGTTTGGGTTCTTAGCCAGCTAAAACGGGTTTATGCACTGGGCAATTCAATGATCTTGCTTCGGCCGCCCTGCAGGCAGCTGTATCTGTTGCCTCACTTTCCATAGAGTACGCAGGTGCATCAGTGCTTCTCTCCAAAGCACATGGCCGATTGTACAATTGTGCTAACGGGAGCATGCAAATGCTCGCAGAGCATTGGTGCGTCTAGACATGGGCCAATTGTGCTGGTAGCGCCAGTCCGTGATCGTATTCCGTAAGTGCCATCTGCTGCAGCCGACTCAAAATGCTTGACAAAACTTTTGTACATGCAACTGGTCTGCACTCCTCCCCTCCAGGCAGCGGCCGTGCAATTGCCTAGTCTCTTGGGAAGCCCGGCCAGGCTTTAGTTGCAGCCCCACATGCGAGCGCATGCAAGCCGCCTGTTCTGCATGCACAGAACCGGTAGAGGACTGTTGGAAACTTCAAGTTGCTGGTCGGTTGCCTACTACCGCGTACTACCATCGAATGGGTGCTCGTGTGTAATCTTCACACGCAGAGTTACCAGCATCGGACACACGTTGCTACAGAGTCCGATACTTCAACAAATTACATTGTACTTGGCAACGCCAAAATGGGGCTAAAGTGGCATATCGTCATATTCACATGCAGGGGGCCTACGGAGGGCCAACCAAGTCTGGTTCACAACGGGCTTCAGTGTGCCCTGACAACTGCCCTCAGCCTTAGCAAGACTATGTCTGCTGCTTGCATCCACGGGCGCCTTGCAGAACCAATTGCGGCACGATGTACCGCAAATCAAGGCGTTGCCTCTCCTCACCACCCACACGCATTTGTGCCGCTGTCCCCAGATCACCCGGAGACTGCAAGGGACTGCGGGAAATACACATACATATATTGTGTTTTTGTACATGTGTATAGCAACTACTCCTTCCTCCTTCATGCCTGCTTCATTTCTTCTCCTTGCGCTAAGTTTGTTTTCTGCTTCATTTTTTACGTGAGTGCTTTGTGCGTTAATGAGTGCCTTGTGTTTTAACGTCTCCTGTTGGGTTGCGCTGACTACAACCGGCAATCGGACTTCCAACGCATCATGTTGGCGCGCCCTGGCAACAGCAGCACCGGTGGTCGTGGTAGTAGTAGCAGCAGCTTCTAGTATGGCTGTTGCAATATTCAAGCTGCGGCAGAGCGTTGCATGAGCCTCTACTGCAGCATGTGCTGCTGCGCGTGCTGCACCAATTACACCAGGTGCAGCAAAATCCCCGGCTGTAGCAACCTGACCAGCTGTGGGTGCTGCAACAGCCCACTCAGCGTATGCAACACCCTGTGCAACAGCGGCTGCAGCTGCCACGCTGTTGCTACTGTTTCTGCTGCAACAGCAGCAGCTAAAGCAGCAGCAGCTTTATGCAGCTGTATCAGACTCCGTTTCTGATTCATTTTCGATAAGAAGGACAACGCAGTTGGGGCAAAGCCCAGCGGCTTCCAAAGTACCCTCCTGAAGCGCAGACAGACAAAATGCAGCAAATGCTTTGCAGCAACAGCAGTAGGAGCTGCTGATACATGAGCAGGCAGCAGCACCATCAGCAGCAGGGCCTACTGCTGAAGTGGCAGTAGCAGCAACAGGTAAGTCCAGCGATTCTTTTGTGTAGAGTTAGTCAAGGTACAACAGAAGCATGAGTGCCATATCAAAGGCTCCCGCTGCTCTAGTTCGTCTTCTGTTTAGTAATGATGCATGCGATTGGCTCCGTTTGCTATTCCTGCTGTTCTCAGTACTGTTCCCTATGCTGGCTGGAATCTTATGAGTGCAGACGTTCTGATAATTGCTACTATTAATTCTATTAGTCTTCGATATAATTGGTGTTACTGTTGTTCCGGTTATTACGGCTCTTGCCTCACTACCACTAGGGCCAGTGCAGCAAGCGGACCGTTATGGATGCGCTTTTCCTCTATTGTTGGTAGAATTATACGTCTTACTATAACTGGTCGTATAATTCATATTGCCACAATTAGTGGAGCTAATAGCTACCATTATCGCTGAGATGGCTATTGCTGTTTTACCCTGGGGAGAACTCTGTAGGGTGATACAACCAAATCAAACTTGGACGGAATTTGCAGAGAAGGCATCTGAACCACAAAATGCAAAACAACAAAAAGCTGCTTGAAAACAAACGAACTAACAGAACTTCAGAGAACTAACCAGCACACGACTCGAGCTGATACACATATAACAGAAACGGCAAGTTGTCTGAGCAGCAAAACACAAAACCCCAAGAAAGAGCAGGAAACAAGAATTACTGATGCGCCCACGAAGAACGGAAAGTGCACAAACGGAAAAGGGAAGGACCGGCAAAAAGTGGGAGACGCATGCATAAAGAAAGAAGGAGAAGCAGGCAAAGAATGGAGGGCAAATACGGAAAGGGAGTGAAAGAGGAGACTCAAGAGAGACATAAAAACAGAAAGACACAAAATACAAGCGGCGACTGGAAAGTGAAGGCAAACAAATACCAGGGAAAGGGAAAATGTATGCAACAGCAAGGAGTGAAGAAACCAATATGCACAAAGAGTTGAGCGGCCGTCGGGAGAAGTCGAAGCACGAAGGATGAACGGCACACATGCGGGATCCGGGACAAGGGAAAAGCAAAGTTAAAGACATGAGGCGACTGCAATCGTGATAAATCGCAGACATATGATGAGAGGAAAACACAGGAGTCAGAGCCGCTGGAACAAGCCCGACTCGAAAGCAAGAGTTGCGAAAGAGCCTTTAAAACAGAAAGAAAAACGAGACAGTGAGAAAGGAATGCCCAAAAGGAGCGTTAAACAAATAAAACGAAGAATGATATACGAGGTGAAGCTAGAACCATGAGACAAAGAGAACAAGAAGCAAGAACAGAGACAAAAAATGTGACAAAGACATACCCAGAGAGAAAGTCACACACAAAGTATGCGAGAGACAAACAAACAAGGGGGGGAGTTTGGGCAGAGAAATGCATAAAGACACGTAGCAATCTATCAATCCATGAAGGGGATGTAGGGGAAAAGTAACGACAACAGACAAAAAATGGAGCGTCTCCTCACGTCGCAGTATTCAGCCACGCAGTCGGTCCACCGATAAAGAAGCGCAAGAGAAGAAGACGCCGCGAACGTTCTTGTTATCCTTTTTCCGCATGGTAGTTTAAGACGAATCTTAAAAACACAAAAAAAACAATAAAAGAATCCAAATGAGCAGAATAGCTCCAACAGACATGAATCGCCCATCCTCCCTCAACACAAAGCCCAAAAAAGAAACCTAAATAAGCTAGATAAGGACAAACCGAGATTCCTTGAAGCATGAACACAGTAAAATAAGGAAGTAATACAATACATGACAGGCAAACACAAAGTCGACATCAGACGCGAAGCGGGGGCAAAGAGAATAACAGCAGGCCCAGTACCCAAACACGCCAGCAACAGGAGAAATTTCTGAGTGTATGGAGCTTTCGTTGCTTTTGTCAATGCTGTCGCTTATTCTGTTCCTGTGTCTGCTTCTGCTCCTGCAACTGGAGATCGCCATTGTTTCTTACTGTTGTCCTTTCTTCCGGAGGCAGTTTGTTGCACTCCGTGTCTTGGGCTTTGAAGTCTGCTGCTGCGGCGGTTCGTCGTTGCTTCTGCTGCTGCAGCTGTTGCTGCCGCTTCTCCCGCTTCTGAGCCAACCTTCGAGCTTCTTGCTGCCGCCGCTGCAGCTCCCTTTCCCGCTGTATCCTTTCTTCCCTCTGAATAGACATTCTGTGCGTAGAAGCAGCAACAGGAGCAGCAACGGCAACCGCAGACACCAGCATACCCTCTAGCACAAAGGAGCCAACACTGCGAACAGGTAATTTTGCACTGAAATGAAGGGAGTCGAAGGGGCATATCACGAGGAGTTCAGACCAAATGACCTCAGGTGGTATATCGGCAGCTTGGCGTGTACTCATACCTCAGGGATTCTTGGCGTTGAATCTCCTCAAACGCAGCTTCTTGTTCACGGCGCAGTCTGAGTCTCAAACGCTAAACCTAAATCCTAAACGCTCAATGCTAAACCATGGAAAGGTCCAGTTTGGATACGTCGGAGGCAAAGAATGACACAAGAATGCAACACTAAACGAGTCGCTAAATGCCAGCAGCTGCCAACCAGAAGCAAAAAGACAAGAGAAGAAAGCTTCCAGGCGAGCAACAAGGAAGAGATAAACCAGGAAACTGCTTCGAGGCAAAGTGGAGACGGAGACACAAATGTTAATAACCGTGGGGCTACGGCAAAAACGAAAGGCATCTTGGAAACCGAAAATAAGCAAATACACAGCTAGGCATCTTTGAGGTCTGTAGCGGCCTCTAATTTTTTCAACAATAGCAATAATTTTTCGTCTTGGGTTACTGCTAATTACATTTGCGTCTGCCGAAGCGCCTCTTGCTTCTCGGCGCATTCCTGCTGCAGCTCCTCGAGGCGATCTAATGCCCCAACTGCATGCGACGCCGCCTCAGCTTCTCCCCATGTCCCCTGCAAAGCCTGAACTCGCATAAGCCAACACCAGAAACAACAGCTGCACAAGCAACCTCAGAACCAAGGAGTGCAGCAAGAAACCCTCAGTTGCAGTGACAGCAGTAGCTGCTACACTAGGATTGGCAGTAACAGCAACAGTGACAGTGCAACCAATAGTAGTAGCAGCAGCTCCACTGGCACGACCTGGAGTCCCAACACTCTGGACACAATGGTTAGGAGGAAACATAGCAGCAGCAACAGCAGCAGACGATGATGATGGTGATCAGCGGACGGTGTGCAGCCAGCTGTGGGCAGCCCGTAGCCAGTTGAGGCTGGGATCTCTTGGAGGTCGGTTAGGGAGTATTGGTTGAGGAATAAAAATCAACAAGCAAGGGAATGCATGCAGCTGTAGCAGCCGCTGCAACGCAAGGCCCTCCCGGCTCCTAGACCAGTTCGCAGCGAACAAACATCCATGTGTCTCCTGAAAAAAAAAATGAATGCAGCAGCAGCAACAGCTCAAATGTTGCTGCAGCACTAGACGCGAAGCATCAGCAAAACCAGATGTTGCTGCTGCAACAGGCAATGCCGCACAATGCAGAGAAGAACAGCAAAGCACACGAAAGCAGCAACACGAAGACGCATCAGGCAATGCGCACAGATGTCTGCTGGAGAAGCCTCCAGCAGAGCCGGGGAGCGGCAACAACAGAAGAGCAATCGACAACAGCAACAGGAGGAGCAGCAGCAAAAGCAGCAACAACACAATAACAGCACCAGCAATAGCAGCAACATCAGCACCACCATCGGCTCACCAGGAGTTCAATGAAGAGCGCACTGCCAAGGGCCTCACGGCAGGCCACGTCCGCCGAGGGCCCCTCCTCATGCAAATAGACAACCAAGGGTTTCTGAATAACTCGCGCCTCACTAAACGCCTGAAGTACAGCCAACATAACAAAAACTACCCCAGTCAATAAATGTACAAAGATGCATTGGTGTATAGGGATTGTCTCTGAGAGAGCCTGCAAAGAAGGGTTAAAGAAGGGCTTATGGTGTCGGTTTTGCCATTTACGTCTCTAAAAGAGCCTGGAAAGAACGGGGGATGCTTATCTCCGTATTTTGCTTCGTACATATCGGAGAAGGTTGGAGTTGACAGAGCGCGAACTGCAAAAGACAAGTTGAAACAGAAGAAGCTAAAAGAAATACACTTATGGAGAACAAATACGACAAACGTGAGGCAGTCAAGCTCGAAGAGACAAGGAGTACGAAACCAAAGAGACAAATAAGACCAAATGCACAAACACAAAAACAGGGAAAAGAAAATAGACTAAGGCAAAGGGGGTGAGAGAAAGAAAACAGTGAAGAAGCCGGATCTCAAGAAAATACAAACGGCAACAACAGACGCTGACATACTCAGCACGCCTTGAGTAGCAAACACAAATCTCTTAACTATAGTTCCTAAGGCACTCAGCGAGCCTCTACAGAAAATCCACAGAGAAACAATCACGTCGAACACCTTCCCTAATCCAAGACGCCTCCCGTTGCCTTCTCCATGACTCCCCTGCGCGTCATGGGCCCCTCCCTGGAAGTCCCCTGGAGGCGCCTCTTGCTGGGATTCCGGCTCCCTTGTGTCTGAAGGGGTGGGCTCGCGACCGCTTCCCACGTCGCGCCTTCTCAACTCGTTTGCCTGTACAGATTCAGAAATAAACACTGGAAGCCCAAACCCTAAACCCCCCGTAGGCAGAAAGGGTAGATGGAGGTGATGACGCTGTTCCCGGTGCTGCTGCTGCCGCTGCAGCTGTTACTGCTGAAGTTGCTTCGGGTACAGTCGCAGTTGCTGCTCCTGCCGTATTCAGCAACAGAAAAGCATACTCTTACGCGCTGCATCCGCGTTGGTGTCTTTAGTAAGCTGAAGGAGCTAGCTAAAACGGAAACAGCTGATTGGGCTTATTCCTCCAACTGTTTTCTGTATGTTGGGAAAAAGAAAAAAAGGAGGCGATAGCAATGCTCCTGCCTGTTCTGTTGCGTACACGCAACAGCTCGGCATGGGAAGCTGCTGCCTGTTGCGATACTCTAGCAGCTTGTTCGACTGTCTCGTTGCTTCACTGGTTTTCTTTAATACGCTTTTTCTCCCGTTGCGGAATCTAGAAGCACGAAGTGGCCCCCTGCTGAGAAGCAGAGGGCTGGAAAAGGAAGACACAATCTGCGTATACACCCCAGTCTTATTGAAGATAATGAACACATACTCCTGATAAATCAAAATAAAGTAGAAGAAATAACCGAAGCGACTCCCTTTCTGTGAAGGGTTTTCGGATTTAGGTTTAGGGTTCAGGGTTTGGGGTTTGGGGCCCCAGCTCCTCCCGTCTCCGTGGGCGGAGTACCTGCTCTTTTGCTTGAACAAAGCAGGCTGGCAATTATTAAATTATGATTGAGGGGTAAGCGTTCAGTTTTGAGTAGAAGGAATCTATTCCTTCCCCAAAACACATCATGCACTCTGCTGTGCGTTATCTTCACAGAGGGGCCCCCCGGGGCCTCCCCCTGTCTTCAGCGGTGTTCTACTCGGGGCTATCCCCCCCCGCGCCTTTATCTGGGGGCCGCTGCGGAGGTGCTTCTTCCATATTTGAGCTCCCCTTTGGGCTCCCCCGAGCCTTCACCACGGGGCCCACCGGGGGCCCCCAAGAGAGGCCCATGGCGTCCTTTGGGTACAGGGATGTAACAAGGGAAGAAAAGGAAAAACTGGTTAATGACCTGTTCACCTCCGTCGCAGGTAATCTAGCAGATTACCTGCTATTTTTATTTGATCCAGGGAATATTTACTGACATCGGGCTGCGCCGTTATACACATTATCGGGTTTGTAAATTGTCTATTATGATTGAAGATGTCTGAATATATGTATATGAGCGTGTGTATCGATTATACGTACGAGCCCATAGGTTCATGTGTATTCGTGTGAATATACCTGGAAGTGCGTATGCATGCAATTTTCATGCATACTGCTGCAGCCAAATTCCACTTCCAAGGGCTCAGACTTCTGGGTTTGTATGCCCACGAGCAGCCTTGTCTGCGAACGTCTGAATATGGGGGGATTTTATCTGTCACCCTCCGTTTTATCATTACTATGTATTCATGGAATGCGTTGCCTAGAAGCAAAACAAATGCACTGTGGGTTGAGCATCAGACTGTCTGCGGCTATCCTATCTGCCTCTGAACCATCTGCTTGCTGTATGGATACATGCTATTTTTCGTTTTCAGAGAAATACGATCTCATGAATGACTTGATGAGCTTCGGCCTCCACCGAATTTGGAAGGACAACTTCACGCAACTCGTCAACTTCCCCCCCTTACGCGCACGCAAGACACCAGGGGAAGATTCTCAAGGGACCCCTGCAAGGGATTCCACACCAGCTCCCAACGCAACTGCAGCAGAATCCCCCGCAGAGCGGGGCCCGCATGAGGATTCCAAAAACGCTGGGGCGTTTACGGTGTTGGATTTGGCCGGAGGGACTGGAGACATTGCCTTCCGGTTGATAGACAGGGCCCTGGAACAGCTGACACACTTCGAGCAGCAGAATCAGGGGCAGCAGCACGGGTTGGTTTGCAGTGGAGTCGAGATAACGGTATGTGATATAAATGAGCAAATGCTACAGGTGGGGATGCAGAGGGCAGTTGAGCGGGGTCTTCCAGCCTCTCCCTTAGTAGACACAATGAGCTCCGGCAGCAGCAGTAGCAACAGTAGCAGGATTGTGCTACCTAGAAGCACTGACTTTGGGCACGTGGGCCCTGTCGGGGTGCGTTGGGTGAGAGGTAGCGGGGAATGTCTGCCCTTTGCGTCATCTTCGTTTGATTTATTGACGATCGCCTTTGGTCTTCGGAATTTTACCAATGTTGAGAAGGGTTTACAAGAGGCGTTGCGGGTATTGAAGCGTGGGGGGCGCCTGCTTTGTCTGGAATTCTCCCCTGTAGACACGCCAGTGATAAAACCACTGTACGATTTGTTTTCTTTCACTGCGTTGCCCGTGCTGGGGCAATTCGTGGCTGGAGACCGCGGGGCGTATCAGTATCTCGCAGAGTCCATTCGCCGCTTTCCCGCTGCTGAGGTGCTAGGCCGCATGCTGCAGCAGCAGGGCTTTGTGCACGTGTCGTACTCCACTATGAGTTGCGGCATCGTTGCTATACACTCCGCTCACAAACCCTGATGGCAGGGTCCCCCACAAGCCGCATCGGACGAGTAACTGTTTTGCTGGTACAGCTGAAATAGCTCTCCACTATTCGATTTCACCCTCTTTTCGGTGCATCGGCAGTTGCTTTGCATGCAGATATGTGTATGTGTACAACTTTTCATGCAGTTTTATGTGGTTTCTATGCAAACCAGCTTCTATTTGCACGAAGTTCTGTGTGCGGCGGCTTTTACGTACACCAGCTGCTGAGTGTACCAAGTGCGGTGGCACTAAACGTTCCTGCACTAGCCGCTGCTGCTTTAGCCGCTGTGCAACAATACTGCAGCACCACAGGAGACGCATAGACACACCTGAATACATAATACGATGAGAGCTGCATATGATGACGCTGCAGCAACATTCACAGGGGACCCTTAACGACCCGGCGTTAGGAGAGAAGGGGGAGCCCCCGAAGATCCCGAAAAAGCTGTGAGGCCCCACAGGGCATCTGCGTTTTGTTGCAATGTATGTTCCTGCTCGACCTCGTGTTCATACACCGGAGTGAGTTGCCTCTTCCTTGTACCTGGGGATTGTACTAGAGCAATTCAAATGTTTGCAGGAGGCAACTACAAATTTGGACAGTTATCTAAAAGCTTTCGTTTGAAACCGTTACTCGATTAGTGAATAACGGGAACTTAGAAAATAAATTAAACATCACTGGGACGGCATCTACTAGGCGGCAAATCTAAGCCGTTGGCTGCAAGTTAAGGCATTCTTCCGTCAATTTGCAGTCTACAGACACTTCAGTTTAACAAGGTAGAGACTCCCATGGAACCCATAGAAGGCTGCAGGCAAATATAGCGAGGGCGCAGGCAAATACAAGCAGAAAAATATGGCCCAGCATCTGAGAGTTGCAAACACGCATACGCCCAGACAAGCAGGGAGCAGCAACGGCAGCAGCAACAATAGGGTCACTGGCAACAGCGAGAAAGAAAAAAGTGAACAACACGGGCCATACCAGGAAGATGGGCGCCCCAACTGCGATATCGTGGGAGGCCTTCATGAGGGGGAGGGCAGCAGCAGCAGATGCTCCCAGTTGTTTTGTTTGTTTGTATTCCGGCATTTCGGTTGCATCCACCGGCCTCCCCGCCACGTATATACAGCCCGTAGAATTAAAGCTGTGTCCGTATGTGATCTGCGCACAAAGCCGTCACATGTGCATCTGCATAGTTATAATATATATATTGTGCTTTAGCTTTTTAGTATTATGCTGTCCGAAGGGGTCCGGTTTAGGGCTTCGAACAGAGGGTTAAGTGCCTCTAGTTTGAGTACTTTGGCCTTTAAGTCATGGCGGCACTTCCAGTTAATAAGAAGAAGGGCCACCTGCAGATACGGGAGCAGGCAAACTATAGGCAAGAAGCGTCTCAACAGCTGAATAGAGATGAGATGGAAGCACTACGGAAGGGAGGCATGTGCAGCAAGGAACAGAAGTACCAAAAAGGAGCATACAAAACCTAGCAAGCAAGCGCACTGGTGCATGGCAAACAAGATGACAACCGCCGGTAAACAGGGGGTGACGCGAAGGCCAGTAAATATATGAAGAAAAGGTGCACACACCAAGGACAACCCTCCCTACCTTCCATATGCAGAGGAATATTGTGAATATTTTGGTTATATCGTGCATGTCGGCTTCTACGGAACCTGACAACGAAGAAAAGGGATAAGTTTAGGGCAAATAAAGGGATGCGGTGCAACTCAATCAAATTGGAAAAAGGCATGAGGGATTAAGAAAGACAGGGTTTTGTCTTTGTTATCGGCGTGCAGCCAATGTATAAACGCACACGCAAAGGGCTGGGAAGTGTGGCAGCAGCAAGACAAAAACCAAACAGGTACAAAATAAATGGGACGGGCGCAAGCTAACGCAGAATGCATAAAGTAGACGAATCTGAAGAGCCGAAGCAGACAAAGCACGACGAAATCAAATCCAAGGGCTAGCATGAGTATGCAGAAAAGCTCCAGAAAGCCGCACGAGAAGGAAAGAGACAAGGCCAAAAAGGGGCTGCAGCTCTGGGGATGGGAAGGATTCACAAGCAGAGAAGACAGCGGGAAACGGGAGCAGCAGGTGATCGAAATCGGTTCCAGAGAAGGAGACGCAGATAATATGGAAGTGGGCGAGTATTATATGCATGCATAGCCATCAGACGAATTCGTAGTTCTATATAAGAAAAAAGGCTGAAATATACCTACCTAATTTCCAGGCGTTGAAAAACACCTTCATCCACGACAAATCAAAGATGATGCCACTGTTATCAAAACAATAGAAGCCAGAAAACAAGAGAATGAGCAACAGAAACATACGACGTAACCAGGGGCAACGAACCCAACTAAATGAAAGGGAAGTGCAAATATTTGTGAGCATTTAGTAAAGGAAGGTAACATCTTAGTGCTCGGGTATTGAGACGGAAGAAGCGGACATGATGCAAGAAATCATTAGGAAGGAATATCGCCCCAATGTCCATCGAATTGGATCTGACAAAGAACCGCAGACACAAACACAACAACTAACGCACGTATGCTCTCGTTCGTTCGTCTGTTCTTGTGGCTGTGGTCAATACTGCCTTCTGGCTGTCCGTTGTTCGGTATGCCTATCTACCGGTCTGGTGTTCTGTGTATTTTAGTCGGTTTGCTGCTGCAGAGCCGGTATATACTGCTTCAGAGCTGTTTGCACCCCTCAGGTTCTCAGAACTATCCCACTTCTCCGACTTCATGCCCAATTTCTAGTGCACGCTTTATGTATTTTGTGCGTTGTCGTACTCAAGTTATTCCAAAAGAGAAAAGCAGCAATGCACTGGTCTAGGTAAACAGCTCGCGAATGTCCGGCAACGCTGGAAAGCAACACTGTCAAAGCCACGGCGTACTGGCTGGTCAGCTGAAGCACGTAAACGCAGCAGCTCACTTCAACACTTCAGTGGTCGAGCAAACTGATCAGTGTCCAGTAGCATCAACAGCCGGGGCGCATCAAACTACAAGTGTGTTCATCATTCATATTGTAGGTCTTTCTGCTCATATACTATTTACATGCACATGTACACGGCAGAAAGATGGCGTGCTTTTCCTACATGCCTCCCCGCACACGAATGTCAGAAACACCGTGCATTGTGCCTCTATGCTGTGCGTACACATATCTAAGCACATATTTTGCGTAATGAATCATGCAAGCGTATTTGTTCGCATTTATTTGCTATTTTGCACACGCTATATCTGAATTCAAGCATCAACACATTTATGCATTTTCGCTGTTGCTGATAACCCGTCGTGATCTCGATCGAGACCAGAAAGCCCACCATCCAACCAGGAAGCTTCAGATACTCTCGGAGATCCTCCAACTGGCGAGACAAAAGTTCGGGAATTATCTTCACGCAGTTAAGCAAGCCGCCGCCCCCCGAATCGACCATGCAGAAGGGCCGATTCAGCTTGTCCAGCTGTAGAGGGGAAAAGGTGACAATTCAAGAAACAAATAATGAGACAAACGGCAAGGCGCACGAATAGCGAACAAGAATACGCGACATAGGGAGAAATAATGCAGAGAAAACACAATGCATATATATTCCCAAAAACATGAAGCAAGGCGCCAACAAACGCATCAAAAAGATACTCCAACTCGAGCGAAAAGCAAATGCGTAGTACGAAAAGGAGGAGAAATGGAAGCCGAGCAGCAGCAGAGAAGGGAGGAAAGAGTAGCGTTAGAATTTGCGACCAGCATGTAAACCTAGGTGCGAGAAACAAGCGAGAAAACAATAACATTCAACAGATGAAAAGGCAAGTCAAAATGAAACGCAAGAAGGGACAAAAGGAAACAGGACGGAGTCAAAGTAAAAGAGACAATGTAGGTAGCTGGCAACTATCCCAATACGTGTTGGACTGTCTTCAGTTGTTTCAGTTAATATCAATAGCTGTGCATATGCACCTATGTATTCGCACGCAGTTTGGCACGGGAAAACACACGAAGTTTGTACGGCAACAGATCAGGCACACAGAGGCAAAACCAAACGCTGATCAAGTACATAAACAACGATATGGCGCATACTCAAACATTCGACCCAACCAACATATCTAACAAGGCAGATGGACAACAAAAATGTATACGCAAAGCGCAGTCTAAAACCGCAGAATAGGTAGGCCACAGTAAAAGGAAGCACACTAACACGCGAACATAAGCAAGCAAAATAACCCTCCAGACAAAGACGAACAAACAATTAAGCGCAGGCCAACGCGTCAACAACTCACCTCTTCTTGGTAGTCCGACAGTTCCCTTATTTTGGCCTCCCGACGAATTGTGAACTCGTGAAGGTATTGCTCATAGAGGGCTCGCTGAGAAAACAGGAAAAGCAAAGAAAGAATATCAACTTAATGACCTGCGAAGGAGGGAATGTACGGCGCTCAAGATGAACAGCCACCCACGCACGCTTTTTAAAGAACATTCGCAGCTTTATATAACCGCAAGTCAGATTTTACTTTTGAAGGAGAAGGTCAGCACTAGTTAAACACGATTTTGCTTGCATTAACCTTCCAAACATGCGTAGACGTGCACTGGTGTGATACACAGGTAAAGATGATTTACAGATGCATGCACGAATAAACGGATATCTGCGAGGGTAGATGTGCATGCACAGCCAAACAGGTCTTTGAATGCTACGCACATAGATCGTCGGTTGTGCATTGACAGCCGTGTGCACATGCGCAAAGAGGTTTGAACACAAGTGCAAATGAATCCAGAAGGAATGAATGTGAATGTGTGTCTATGTGTATGTTAGGAACGTCTACAGACGATCAGGCATATCAGCAAGCAAGCATACAAATGCGTGCAGTGAGCAATGAGCATGCAAGCACAAATGGGCCTCCGTTAGCATTCACTTTTATATTTATACATTAAGACACCTGTGTGTGTGTGTTTTGGTTTTGCTTGTCCTTTTATTTGTTTGCTTGTTTGCCTGCTTGCTTCCTTCCTTGCTTTTTTGTATACATGTGTGCAAGTGATTACGTGTTGTCGCAGAGAACACCCCCTTTCCACGCCTTTCCGGATATGGCATATTACGCCTATTAAGTGCACACTGATCCCTTTCGCGTTACTGACAGAAATGAATTTAATTTATCATGTATTACAGCGAACTTGTGCATGCAGGCACGCAAGATTTCCACTGAATCTATTGATGTGGAGCAAACTGCAAACTGTGCAAATAACTGGAACATCCCCGTGGTCCATCCAATAGAAAAGCACGGCAAGAACTCTGGCTTCAAGTACAATCATACGCATTCACGATAAAAGCATGCATCTCCTTTCTCTCTTCCATTGAGAAATATCCAAAAGACAAGACAGAACTGTACACCACGTATAGACGGAAAATGCACTTTCTTCATCTTCACCTTTGAGAAGATCCATTGGCAAGACAGTACAATCTCTCCGGCGTGCCCCCATATCTCCTTCACGAATTCCCTTTTCTTTTGGTCTGTCGCAATGGCAACGCAAGTAAACAACAAGCGGAGAGCAAACGAGGGTGTCAGCATGTGAACAGCAACGCCGTATGGGATCAGGAAGCAAAACGGAAAACGAATGATAAGAGAAGTAACAGGTTTAACTAATTGCTCATTTATAGAGGCTAGCTGGCCGTGTCAATGAACTGATACCGCTCAGGTCCTGCAAAAGAACAGAGCAGTCTCCCACGAGCTCTTCTCTGCCAGAGTTTGGGTCAACTTTGATGAGGCAAAGGCGGAGATCTCCATCTCTGCTACTGATTTCAAATGAAAAAACTTCGTTAAAGAAACAAACGCCGCGCTCGACCTGGACCGCTGCTGTCTCTATCACTTGCTGCTGACATTCCAGATGCACCTTGAAGACGTCTGCAGCACAGCAGGCGCCGCCTCACCTATTGCCGAGCTGGAAAAGCGGCAACCCAATATATAGCGCTGATGATGATACACGCAGAAAACGACCATGGCATACACAGAAGGAGGGCACCGCGATGACGAGACGCATAGAATCGGAGAGGTAGCGACACGTCAGTAAGGTGAAGAGAGAAAGTGAAACAGGCTTGCGGGAGGGACCGAACAAGGAAGAGACGTATACGGTACGTGAGGCAAGGAAGGACAACAACGGTGTTTACAGACAAAGTGAAAATTTGTGGCAGGTACAGACGAACAGGGCAAACTAACAGCGCACCTGACGAGGCCCGAGACAAATAAAGGCCAAGGATTGCAAAGGCACACACGGAGGCAGGTGGAGCCAGATGCTAACTACAAGGACAAGAGCCGACACGGAGGCAACTCACCTCCTTCTGAAGCAGCAGGACTTCCCGAGTCCAGGCTCTGTAGGCAGGCGACTTGAGCAGTAAGTTTGCTCTCTTCGGCCTGAAGGAGAGTAAACAACTATAAGAGCATTTTTTGATCGGATTTGTGCAACACCTACTGTTGGCTCTACAGTGCCATATGCGCTTCGCTATGCAATGAAAACCAAGAAGGCAGACTCTCCAGTAGGTACTGCCCATGCAGCTGCGGACTTCGCAGTCTAACGATACTGAAACAACAGGCAGCGCAGCGGTGCAATGCGATGCGCTAAGGTGCTAGTGATCTAAAAGACACATGCATACAGGGACGAAAGGCGGCAAAATGCAGAAAATGGGACAGTTATATAGACACGGAGGGAGAATAAAACGCAGGACAAGAAACGGACAGAAACTGATCCAACGGCAAATAGCAGGAAGGGGGAGAGCAGAGGGACGGCTGCGAACGTCATGATAGAGAAAGGCGTAAAGCGCAGAAAGAGAGGGAAACAGACAAATAAGGGAAAACAACAGCCATGGAGCAGTATTCATGCCCTCGCCTCGGAGACAACCTGGCACTGCAAGCGCAGCCCCTCCCTACTCCAACAAAGATCGGAAACTCCATTTAAGACTCCGAATGAAGGGCCTGCATTCAAGGTATCTGCTCACCAGAGCAGCGTTTGGGTCCATCGACAAGCTTGACAAATGCGCCTCTGCCTGCTGCAGCATCATCTCCGCTCCGTCCAGCTCCCCGCGAGCCGATTCCAGCACCGCTAGCAGTTCCCGCCGCTGAAGCAAGCATATCCAACAACTCAAAGCCACGCGCTTAAAGCATCTTCGTATATCAGGGTCTGTGTTGCGACTGGGAATTCTTTTGAGCTCTTTCCTATTTACAGCTGATACTTCTGCAAGATTCATATATATTTCCAGCTGGATCTAGTACGTGGTAAAGAATGTAGATATTGAAAAATGCGGAAAATTTCGATTCACTAGTAGTAGGTGAGAACACAAGAAACCAGTCTAAAAGCAGAATTATCAATGGATTGGTACTAGGAATTAGGTTCATACGAGAAGGTCTACGCTTCAAAGTCAGGGTACACTGTTTAGGATTCGGCATATGTCAGACTAGGGCTCATAGTTAGGCCTCCAACTATGGACACTCGATTCAAGTTGCAATTTCGTCGAGATACGGAGTGCAGGGCTTAGGGTTTGGGGAATTAGGAAGCAGGTGACTGACGCGTTTCATATAGGCCTCTATGAAGACGCGGCCAGTTGTACAAGGCTCCCTCAGCCCCCTAAATGATGACAAGGCAGCGTAGATGCGCCGAAGCATTTCTTCATCGTAGTGGCGTGCAGACGTCTGGGTTATGGAAGATCAACAAAGGAACACACAAGGCGGAATCCGATGGGAGCTTGTGCATGAATACGGCAAAATGAAGAGTTTCGAAAGGCGGCTCGACGGAGCGCTGAACAAGTATCGCCTTCCCTGCCTTCCCTTTTCGACAGAAATCACTAACATTAGTACAGTAATAATGCATCATTGCGTACGTGGAGCAACATAAAACATAAGGGACAAAATGTATTGAAAATCTTAATCAAAAGGAGTACTCACACGCAGACGAGCAAGCAACTCGGGCAAAGTCAAGATGGACTCGGGCAAAATCCCACATTTCTGGAAGTCGTCGTACAACAGCCGTCTGCAGATATTGCAACAACGATCATCTGGAGTAAGGGGACGAATGGGGAACTTCAGTACTTTCACACTGCTTGCACTATAATTTAGTACGATGATAAGGGCTTACAAGGCAGATTTTGCTAACTATGGACCGCCACTGCTGTTTCTACAACAACTGCCAATGCAACCAACCCCGTGCTGCTACTGCTGCCGTTGCTAGTGCGTTCGAGCGGCTGTTGCTGTTACCAGTATCGACTTCGCACCTTTCCGCTTCCTCCATCGCATCTCGGCTCTCCTGTATGTTGTCAGGGGGTGCGATGAAGGTATCTTCAATGCTCTCATTTGTGCCTACAGACAACACACGCAGGCAGCATGGCGGACTCTGTGACGCCGTTGACACTCATGTAATTTGCTGAAACTCTTGTAATACGGTGTGTGACAGCGTATTTTCCGTTACGCCTTGTTAGTGGTGTTGCGGGCCAACACGTGAAACACCATCGGGGGGACTGAACCGCCACTGTCTTTACACTTGCTTGGGCCCAGGAGGGCTCCTGAAAGAGACTGAAACCTGCAGAGCCTCTTAAATTATGTTTCAAGTGGTGTGGAGGTAGCTGATCAGCTGTTCTATTTCTTGTGTGTGGCGCCCGTGTCTGGGATTGACAGCTGCAGTGGCACGACGAGCCGCGCAGGGCACTGTGCAGCGGGTGGGAAATACCACTGAGCGAGATCTCCTCACCAAGGGAAAAGGGCTGGAGAAGGTAACTCATCTTCGTTTGGTTAAGGCCAGAAGAGTTCTTCTGGGTTCTAGCGATCGTTGCGGGCTTGCTGCAGAGGAGGCCGCTGCCGTGTAGATTCCAGTAGACTACTTCAGCTGTGTCTGAAGTTCACAAATTTCCCCTGCGATTGACTTCCAAATCACTCAACAAATTGAAAGAAAGCTCAAAGTCGTAGCTGCAATTTCAGCCGCTGGCACAGGAAAGTTTGCCGAAGTTGGTTTTTCGGGGGCGACTGAGAAACATGAGCGCAGCGCAGACTTCCTGCGGGAACAGCTTGTAGAGAAACCTGTAATATTAATTGAAAGAGCAGATCAATAAACGGTATAACGCATTACTCAAGCAAATGGTCTTCTTGGTGCAACACAACCTCTTCTTCCAACCGCCAGTCTGCCCCCGGTCTCAGGCAGTCCCGACCGCCGTTGACTGTACTTCACAGAGCCAAAATATTGGCGACCTATACGCATGAAGATAATTCTTCCTTTTCTAATAAATTAACTAGCCATTTTATTCTCTATAATATCCCTTAGTTTTAGGAATATGGCGGTGCTAGGATCGACAGCACTACCTTCATGCACAATCAATGGGCAATTCATCGTGTCTGTGTGAAAATTCGTGGTTTGTCGAAACCGTGAGCCTGATTTCATTATTTTCTGTCCTGGCTTTTTTCTAGTGTTTTAGTGATGGAAACTACCAGCGCCTTGCAAGTGTTTAAAACGGATACTCACCATAGCTGCCTCCTCCGTCCGGCGACTACTGTTCTCGGGCTAATAGTGCCTATCGAGACGTATGCATTCGTTCACTCTATGCCAACTGTGAATTTGGATGTTTGAGAGAAATTTGCGGGACAGGAGGAAAACTTGTGTTGCGCAGAATACTCTAGGGGGCCGCCAACGACAGGTGTAAGTGTAGCATGATGTACAAGAATTTGGCTACCGCCAAGTTTAGTACTGGTTGCCAAGTAGGTGTTTGGCAATTGTTTCCAGTAGAACAAAGTGCATAAAAAGCGTCCTTCGGCAGGTTTGCACGCATGCATGCCTCAGCAATGTTTGCAGCGCACCTTGTTTCAATACTTTCTGTGAGCCAACGAGTCTCAGGCACATGTGCTGTTTTGCTTAGAATACTTGGACTGGCAAGGAGATTACCTTTTTCTTGCAAACTTACATTCCAGCCTTTTGGCTCTGGACTGCACTACCGTCCCCTGCCGAGTTACTGGGGAAGTTACAAATAACTAGACAGCTCCAAGTGCATATTTAGGGAGAAAAAACAGCTAAGGCAAAATAGTGAACCATCTCACTCCAGCAGACCCAAAATATCAGCCTACGTTCGGGGTTGGAATAGGAGACGCATACGTCTGCGGTTACATCGAACGCGCCTTTCGTTTGGAAGGCTTACAAGCCCCCGTTCTGCCGTCTGTTATTTTCCCACCAGAAAGCTAATGCTGAAAAATGTTGCGTCAACAAATACATGTCCAGGCCCACAATTTGCGTAGCATGTACGGTCTTATCAAGTATATCTGAAGTGGGTTCCTGGCCGCTTACCCGGAAATAGTAAACGAACCATCAGAAGGCAAAAGCTCTCAGCACACTGTGGCCACTTCTGGCCGTTCGTGCCTACAGCAAAGACGGCTTGCTTGTGCTGCGTGCGGGGACGTCTTTCACCGTGTGTTGTAGCTAGGTGTGTTGCAGTTCACGCAGGCTTCCTTCTCTCTTGCATCTCCAGGTGTTTGATTCGCCGTTATCGGAAAGCGCGAAGATTGGGGACGGGGACCAGTTGCACTAGTGACGAACTATCATCTTAGGTACTTCAGCTCTACTGCAGCTCACAGTAGTCCTTGTAAAATTCCCAGGACCTGTCTTATAACTTGTACCCACACCTTGTGGCTATGACCCCAGCCTGGTCAGCGCTGCTGTGTGATGCAGGTGTTACGTACCAGCGTCGCAGTTTTTAGAGGTCCGTGAGCTTCCATGCGCGCTTGTGGGTTTCGGCAGTCTCACACACCCCAATGAACCACACTTTCTTACCTAATGAAGCCTGGGTGTTCGACATGCCCAGCTGAAACAAAGGCATAACGCTTAAAGCAGCATATCTCAAAAACTGCTAAACCGCCATTGTCGCTCTACCACAGCGGCGCGTGGGCCCTGCCGCAGTTGCAGCGCACCCGGTTGCAAACAGTGCTGCAGTGCAATCCCAGATGCAAGCACAGTCAACCCGCCTTCGCTGAATGCACTAACACAATGAAATCTTGCCGAAATTTTGCTTGCAGCCTGCACCCACATGAAGTACATGCGTAAACATCGAACACACCGTACTCCACCCATTGCTGCACAAACTAACACTGCAGGCTATTTTTGAACACGTACTTGGCATCTACCAGGCATCCTGCACGCAGGTAGAAGTCCCTGCGCCAACTTCGGACAGACCATTCTTCAGATGGTACTGCGAAGTTCGCAGACGACTATTAGTGTAGCCACTTACCCTACACAATATTGTGTGTGCACAGAGATTGGACACATTTTCGGTATTTTAGTGTTTCTAACTCAATAAATGCCCCTCCAAAGGTTCAAGAGACTGTAAAAGGTGGCATGATATGATGGAGCTGGTGTTCCGGCAGAGCCCTACCAGGCAGCTAAGCGGTTGGCCTAGCCCAGTGCGGGAAGGCGTTCTTCCGTTCCAAGATATTTTCTTATCAATTAGTTCGTGTGACTATATTTTATTATGTATGTTTACATGAGAAATCCAACTATTCGTTTCAATACTATGGGGTGCTGACCGCTCCTTGCTCTCCTTGGTGTGAGTGATGCCTGCAATGCTACGCCACGAATTGAAGGAAATATGCAGTTCCTTCCTGTGTCTTGGCTGCGGCCTAGGCATTCTGAATGGTTTTAAGTCTTCCTGAACTTCGTACGACAAATAGAAACACAGGCCTCGCTAAGTTGAGTGCAGGAGGGGTTGCTCACCTCGTCCCATTGGACGGCGTAAAACTGCGCCTAATTCTCTTCTGAGACGATCAGGAGTCTTCGCATTGTATGTCTTCTTGCAAGGTATCTTCTGCATGCGTCATAAGCTCTTGATCTAGGGGCCATTATTGGGAGCACGACATCTTACAAGCGCGTCACCATGAATTGCTCCGGCGTTATGCGAGCATACAGAAGATTGGTAGATGCTCAAAAGAAGAGAATCGCTGGTAGCTACTATTTTATGTACCCGAAGTGGATTCATTCTTCCATCATAGCCGCTTCAGCGAATGCTCCAAAGCCGACAAGCATCATCTCGTTGCCAAGCCCGCCACCTTCACGGGGAAGTTGGGGAGATGAGCGAAATACTTACGGATCCAAGTATGACTGTTGGGCTATCATGGGGACCTTCGCGGCTGTGGCAGCAGCAGGCGTTGCAACATCGATTGTGTCAACAAACAAGTCTGACGCTCGCTGTTGCGGCATTGTAGGGTACATTGGAACGGGAAATGTGGAGCCAGTGTTGATGGAAGGAATCGAAATTCTTCAGAATAGGGGGTATGACAGCTGCGGTATGACAACAATTGGGAACGATGGGCAGCTCGTCACAACAAAATTCGCTAGCCGAGGCACAACTAGCGACTGCATTCAACTGCTGAAGAAAGAAGCTGCTGCCCATCATGGTGGGCACCACATAGGGATTGCACACACGCGCTGGGCAACTCATGGTGCGAAGACAGACACCAATGCGCATCCGCATATGGACTGGAAGAGGCGCATTTCGTTGGTGCATAATGGCACCATCGATAATTTCGCACAGTTGAAGAAGGATCTAATAGCTAAGGGGTGCATATTTATGACCGAGACGGACTCTGAAGTTATTGCGAATCTCATAGGATACAAGCTCGATCTCGGACTGTCGTTTGAAGACGCTGTTGCTGAGAGTGTCTCGCAGCTGCAGGGCACTTGGGGCCTCTGTGTGATTCACAAAGACTACCCAGACCGCATAGTGCTTGCCCGCAATGGTTCACCACTCCTTGTTGGCAGCAGCGACGGGCAAGTCTTTGTTGCATCAGAACCAGCCGCCTTAGCAAGACACACCAGCCAGTACCTCATGCTTCAGGATGGAGAGATAGCGATCGTCACAAGTAAAGGGATTGACCAGCTCCTGGAATCACGTGACATGCACCGAATCTCGGCTGAAACGGTTGAAACATCCCCCGACCCATTTCCCCACTGGACTCTCAAAGAAATATTCGAGCAACCCCAGAGTTTGGCCCGCGCCCTCAACTATGGGGGACGAATAATGGCTCATGGCAACCGCGTGAAGTTAGGTGGCCTGGACCAAAACAAAGACTTGTTAGCGATCCGCAATTTACTGCTTGCGGGTTGCGGAACATCGTTGTACGCCGGCATGTACGGGGAACAGCTTATGCAGTGGCTGGCCTGTTTCGACCAGGTGCGGGCTATTGATGCTACTGAATTGGAGCAGCACTCTTTACCCAAACATGACGCCGGAATCCTCTTGCTCTCCCAGTCAGGGGAGACGTTAGACACTATCCGAGCCTGCCAGATTGCTGACGAGCATGCTGTTAGGAAATTTTCAATTGTTAATTCCGTGGGTTCTCTTCTCGCTCGCATGACTTCCTGTGGCGTGTATCTCAATGCTGGGAGAGAAGTTGCCGTCGCCTCGACGAAGGCCTTTACTTCCCAAGTAAGTTGCACGGCCTCTACCTCAGGATAAGTATAATATAGTACGCAGCCATTTCTTCCCTTTATTATGTTCATATACATCAAAAGTAAGGGGCAGAGTTGTACCCGATAATGTAGATTTCTTCGTTCCTGATATCAGAGTGCCCACTAACTGTTAGCTTCTATCCAGACTGAAGGCACCAGTAAGCGGAATATTGGTTTGTCCATGCAGTGTATATGGCCAAACACGAAGGATATATTGCTGTTATCCAGTAGCATTGGGTTTATTTGTCTGCCTATGTGCAGGTGACGGTGCTTGCCCTGGTATCCAGCTGGTTCTGGCAAAACCTGCGTAGCGAAGAATATCCAGATCGTTGCAATGCTTTATTGGACGCTCTTCACCGTCTTCCTGTATATGCGGGTATGACACTGAATGCCCACGGGGCTTGCAAGCGGATTGCTGAGAAACTGAAAGATGCGCAGACGCTGTTCGTGCTGGGAAAAGGCTTTGGTTATCCTGTTGCTCTCGAAGGTGCGCTGAAGATTAAAGAGATATCGTACATCCACGCAGAAGGGTTTGCCGGTGGAGCGCTGAAACATGGGCCGTTTGCTTTGATCGATGACAAAGCACGCACTCCTGTCGTCATGATTGTCCTTGGGGACCAACATGCAGCACTAATGCTCAACGCGGCTCAGCAGGTGAAGGCGAGGGGTGCATATCTCATCTGCTTAACTGACTTCCCGGAGCTCGTGCAAGATGTTGCTGACGATTATATTGTTATCCCAAGTAATGGGCCGCTCACTGCACTACTTGCAGCGATCCCTTTGCAGCTCCTGGCCTACGAACTCTCCGTTGCCAAGGGAATAAATCCCGATAAGCCAAGGGGGCTGGCCAAGACAGTTACAGTCAGTTAGTTTTAAGCAGTAGCCAGTTTTTAAGGCTCTACAAACGCTTCTTAAGGGCATCGTGCAACCTTTTTAGCTTGGGAAGGCAAATGTGTGCTCGGCTATGTTCAGCGTGCAGCCGAAAATTTCTACGAAGTAAACGTACCGTTTATCCCGGAAGTCGAAAACGGCTTCGCAAATATCATTGTGCACCAATTCATAACATTCTGCAAAACACTTCCGTTTTGCCCTATATTTTCTCCACAGGGGTCAAGTGGATGCAGGCCGGATGGCGACTGAAAGTTGAGCATGTTAACGTGGGTTATACCCTTCGCCAGACCCTGCTGGGGAGTAGAGGTAGTGGAGACTAACAAATGCACGGAACAAAGGCAGCAAACAACCACTGACTCAGGGCTAGTAGATATCCCCGGAGGCTAGTAGATATCCCCGGAGGCTAGTAGATATCCCCGGAGGCCCACGGATAGTTGCCTGACCCTTGCGTTGAGAACTCCCATGGCTATAATTATTTATCACATTAAAAGAGACTGGTGTGTTGCAGACGGCGTTTAGGGAACTACAGGCACGATGAGGCAGTCGGGGGGGCTCAGCCAGTAGTACAGGCAACGCCTCGGAAGACACCAGAGTTAAGGAGCATCACATTGCCTGCTGTTAGGCCAACACGGCAAAGTTATGGAATGTACGCGCTCAAAATTAATCAATATTTATTAGGACTGTGCACCTTCACTGCTAAGGGAAAAGAGCACGATAAAACCCGCAAAAGCTCGCGTAGCCGTTACGTCTGGCCCGCTGCTCGGCGAAGGGTGCTGGTTCACGAAGCCGCCATCATTGTTGCTACGGTGTCTGCCCTTCATGTCTCTGCAATAATTAGCATCAAATATAGTATTACTTCACGTTACAATGCCTTGCACTTTGGGGGTATGACGGGTGGAGTTACAGTCCTCCCAGCCCACCTCGCCAGACAGAACGCGTTCGGCCCCGACCGAACCGCTTTCCTCACCTTCTCTTCCCCGCACTGCCAGTCTCGAAATCCTATTTTGGAAATGCTACAAAGAGCTTGAAGCAGGTAATTTTCGGATTTGGCTCGGGGGTGCAACGCCGGAACCTCGCTGCTATCCCGCCCATGTAATGGACCACTGGGGTAACAGAAATGTCTTCTGGAACGCGGCTGTTCCCACAGAAAAAGGTTTCTTCTGTAGGGGTCGTTTTACAAAGTGGAAGAGGAGTCAGTGTTGGCCCTATCCTGAATGCTATGAAGCTGAAAGCTCTTCTTCTTTCTGATGGGAACTCCACTCGCAACTGGAAAGCCTTAGATCTCTCCAATAGTAGCATCAGGAAGGTAAGTGGCGATTATTCACCATACACCTCCTGCATAGGCGCAGATGTGCTCATGTTGTGCGCTCAAGGGATCCACTGGGAACCTTTGTAATTCCTTCACTGTACGGGTGCATTCAGATAGAGCTCTCCCTCGGCGAAGTTGCCGCTCTAGATTTTGAATGTCTGAAGCACCTTGACTTGGGTGGAAACCTGCTGGTCTCTCTAGATGGGCACTCGTTACCGTTCCCCCATCTGCAAACACTCCGAGCTAGCAACTGCCGCATCAGCACCGTCACAAACTTTGGCTCCCATTTCCGACTTCTTCAGTTGGATATTAGCGGCAACCACATAACAGACATAATGTAAGGGGCAATACTTTGGCATGTGACAAAAGAGATACTGTGCACTTTATTGACAACCGTGCTCGTGCGTGGCAAGTAGCTTCTCTGTCCCCTGTGAAAACCTCACATGACGAAAGTTGTCAGTGGCGATGATGCTGTCGTCCCCGCAGAGGTTTGTCCAATACCCCCCTACGCTTTACACTGCGTGAGCTGAATCTCGCTAGGAACCAAATAAGGTACGCTCTGGTGCTTGTGAAGCATGAGATAAATGTAAGCAGCTAGGAGAACAAAGACATTGCTCTCTCTCTTCTGTTGAGCCCCGTGCCTTCCAGCACTTACTTGTGCAATATTGCCTAAAAAGCCCGTGGTTGCGCACCAGTATAAATGCATTCGAGAGGGAAATTGTATGTTTAGAGTAAAGCTGAGGGTAAAGCGTCGATTAGGTGATGACGACTCCACCTCCTTGGTGTTTTCGTTGGTTTGCCTCAGCGAATTTAAAGGCCTCGCTCCATTGAGCACGTTCGAGTCCCTCGAGACATTGGATTTAAGACAGAACCCTCTATGTAATTTTGGTAACGTTGTAAGCTTGATTCTCACATCTCCGTTTGGTCTGCCCTACACTCTTCTGCTATGACCCATAACTGATAACTGTGTATCACGCGGGCGTGTTTTTCAGGCTGAGGGCTTCGCGCTGATTTGTTGCACAAGTCTTAGACAACTTAACGGACACACAGTTTCACCAACAGTGCGCAAGGCGGTAGACTCTTGGGCGGTGGGTGAAGCGTGTGGCCGCGCCACGGTGGCAACTGTGGAAGCTTTCCGGGAAATCCTTCAATATCCACAAGGTAATCCACTTGATTCGAACCCGCTTTCTCAAGTGAAGGGCCGTTAAAGGCAGATTAGCTAAGTAGCTGCGATGTTGCCTGCATGTCTTCATGCTCCGTCAGGTGCTTCCGTCTTTTGCTCCACTAGTCGATCCCTGTTGGTAGGACGCTTGAACAAAGTGCGAAGTGTCGGTGCCGTCTCCAAGCTACCGTACACCAGAACAGCCGATTCCACCGCAAATTCCGATGCCGACTGTGTTGACGCCGTAAATCGCAAGGACCATGTTCCGAGCAAAGAGGAGTGTCGGTGTGTCCACTCACATTCCCGTTTGCATACGGAGCTGAACAAAGAATTTCGCATGGTCATGAAGCTGTCACTGTCTTCTTCAGTGCAGACGACTGCGGATGAGTTACAGGGAAGACCCGTTGGCATTGCTTGTTCGTTATCGGACGCTCAGATAGGGTCACGCGCGTGCGCAACCCAGCAGAGCGAAGAAACAACAGAGGAGGCTCAGGCATGCTCTGTCAGAGACTGCAGCCAACGAAAGTGTCAGTGTGATGACTTGTCTGATACTCGAGATGGCGCTCCTTTGCTTGCGCATCACAAGGAGGATTTGATAAAAACGACAAGCCCTGGACGCAACTGTGCTTCTGCGGATGCCTTCAGAAGTTGCATAGGTCAAGAAACACCAGTTGGATGTATCCGCCCTCTGGAACTTCCAAGAAACAGTACATCTTCATAGGGCACCTCAAGGTTTAATGGGAGAAAAGATAAAGGAGACAGTTACTGGAAAAGCAATCCTTCAACTCTGCTTGCGGGAGGCGCTGTTGTCTCACCTCCAGAGGGACTGTATGAAATATGTCATCCAAACGCATAATACTGCGCTTGGATGACATATTTCATCGTGGAGGGCACCTGATGATATATCTGTGAAAGAGGGAGGTGCGTAAGAGGCATGTCACACCCGTAACCGCATCCGTGGGCAAGGGAGATTTTGGCGACAGGAATTGCGCCTGTTAACTTGCCTTCCAAACGAAGATATGCAGAACAAGGAGACAACTTGTTTTTATTTTATGCTTGAATGTACGGTTGATGTGTAACTACCTGCCAAGATCTAATGGTTTTTCTTGGCTGCCCGACAAATGAGCAGGGGACGGGCTGTTTCCACCGCATGTGGTGGATGCCCCGTCAGTCGCATTTAATTGTTCACCGCCATATATTTTTGTATTAAGTAGCAGAAGATCTAATGTTTATGAACTTTCAGCACGTCATTACGAGGCGATCTATCGATGCCGGATGGCCCCTGTCTTGCTAAATGCATAGGGATGGAGCCCAGTTAATCAGTTGTCTCACAAGTTTATTTCGGCTTCCCTCAGTATGTAAGGCCACCAAATCCTCTGTAACGCTATCAAGTACCGGCGGAGACAGCTGCACACACCTGCATTTTGGGTGGTCCCGACTGGGCAGTTGCATTGCCAGTAACTTGTGATGGCTGTTAAAATTAGCACTCCTTATAGCACGAAAAGTTAATTCGCCTTTTTTTTGGGTGTCGTGCTTAAATTGATTCTTGACTCGAAGTACTTTGTCTTGAGTAGCCTAGCACCGTCCCTCTTTCAGCAGAGGTCCAGAGGCCCAATCGGCAGTGGCGCGTATGGCTAGGTTGTTAGTAGGCCTCAAAAGAAACATTGTTCTAATTTATCCTCTAAGATAGTAAAAAGGACTGAAGGGTTTAGGAGAGGTGTATGATTCCGAGTTTATTCTTAGGACAGATCATGTTGCTCATTGGTGCCGACGAGCCCGCGAGCATGCCGACAACGACAGGAGTCCTCGCTTGACACATGACCCAATGTGCAAATATTCTTGGGAGTTCTTATGGAAATATACTGATTATATTCATCTAGTTTTAGTTAAGCGCCCTTCCACTTTCTCGGCGGAGCAAGAGGTCCATTCGAAGTCGGTTGCTCCATAGCCCAATGAGCTAACTCGCAACGGGGAGACTCATGTCCGCCGCTTGCCGAGGACTCCTTCCCTCTGTTGCGCCTTTAAAAACGAAGATGGTTAGGATTTGGGCGATTCTAGTGGCATACGTTAGCCTTGTTTTCGGTGGTCGCAATGTTGTCGCTGCCCTTTCTGAAAGGGCGCCGTATCAGTTTGGTTCAGGTGTTGCACTCACTACAAGCTCCGTTACTCAGGAGGCAAACCCACACTTATCAGAAGTTTCTCGCTTCAAAAGACGCCAACGTCTTCTTCATGGGGTTCTCCAACAAGATAGTACTGTGCTCCGCGGGGCTGTTGGAGCATCAGAGCCCATACCAGGGATCTTTCTGCAGCTTCAATCGGATCTTGAACATTCCCAATCTACTGCGTCCCAAGAATTAGGGGGATCCTCGGCGTCAGCTGGTGACTCCCATCTAGAGAAACACAAAGAATCCTCTCAGGAAGCCTCAAATGCATCTAAGAGAGAGGCGAAAGCACAGCCTGAGGAAGATTTCAAAGCGTCGGCGACAAATGCAGAAGGAAGCCAAGCTAGTGAGGGAGAGCATTCTTCCCACAGCAAAGGCCATGGACGAAGTGACAGCGAAACCTCGGAAACAGCAACTCACAAAGAGGAGGAGGAGGCGGGGAAAACTTTGCACGAATCTGCATCTGCAGAAGGAGGAGCCGCCGACCATAAGAAGACAAAAGCACACCAACCTGGCCATCAGGGAGAAGAGGCCAAAGAGCACGAAAGGGAGAATTTACTTGAACCCGGCCGTACGGCAGGAGGGGTCAGCGAACAAGGCAAGACAAAGCCACACGAACTTGACCATACGGCAAGCGACAGCCTACACGAGGAGGCAGAGGAGAAAACACACAAACATGTCCACGGGCCAGCCAAGTTCGAAGAAGAGGTGGATTTCAACTCCCTAATTAACCGACTTCGCCCCCTACTGAGTGCGGCGAAAGGCAAAGAACTTTACGGAAGGCTAGTGACGATTGTCGACTTGCATGGTAAGCTTCCCGAATCGAAATTTTGTTCTTCCAAATTCAGCAGAATGAATGACCTGCTTTTCTCTGCAGCCGCAATTGAGTAGCCATCACAATATACGGCTTGATTTTAGGGAGAGAGCAGCATGCACCCAGTCCATTCAGAGGACGATTCCGCTGCTCTCATAGAAGGTTCATTCACCCCCAGTGGATTTGCTACCACTGAGCGGTTGACTTGATAAAGCAGTTGTGGATCGCGTGTTGTGTTGTGTGTTCTCTGTGCTTAGAAAAGGCGGTAGCAGTTGAGGAGGAACTTAAAGCAGAGGCAAGGAAGGAGACGGCTCAAGAAGAGGCTCTGAAAGAAAAGACAGGCTCGGACGTTGCTACTCAGGAGGTGAAGACACAGCTATTCTCACTGTGTGCTGCCACACAGTGAATACCTAAATGAAGAGATGCACACTTCCATTGCTTGAAAAGCGAATCACTAGTTTCGAATAGGTGTTGTTTGCGGCAGGGTGGTGGATGTGGTCTGCTCTTGGCTTTCAGGACTTACTGTTGACCCAGCAATTGAGCAACATGTGGGTACTGCCCTTCTACGAAGAAACCAAGCGCGAGACGTGCCTCTCTGGATTTGAAGGCCTTGCTCATGAGGTGTGCCAGTAATATGTCGCAATTCCATCGAGAGAGTGGACTTGCATCACCAAAGGCTCCCTGTCCTAGCAAGCCAGTCAGTTTTGCCACAACTTGAACAAACATCTGGGTCCTGGAATGACGCGCTCTTGTGTTTTAGGCAACGATTACTTGCGCTGACCCTGAATGTTTTAAGCTTGAAACCCAAGCCCAACAATGCCATTACATGTCGATTGAGTCCATTATGCGCAAAGAGGAATTTGAAACCGAAAGTGGACAGCCAAAATGGCAGAAATCACCTCATCCACAAGCAGCGAAGGACCACATGATTTTGGGATTCGATGGAGAATGCCGCAAACCCGAAGCCCTGGGTTCTGAGATACTAAACATGTTGCAGGTAAAAACCATATCTCCGCTATCATTTGCAGCTTACCTTGGACGCTTTTGCATTTAAACGCTGCACCATCATAGATGATTACATAGAACTCAAAGAGCTCAATAGCCTGACGTTCTATTGAGAACAGAGTAGGACACTTCCCGTAGCCGACTTCACCTTGCTGTAGCTTTATATCAAGCCTGCAATGCCTCTTGTGTCTACGCATGGCACAGCATCCTCGACAGCTTGCCAAAAAGCACGCCTTGGAGCGTGCAACTGGCAGCGGAGGCACTGCTCCACCCCAGAAGCATCATTTGGACCTTAAATGCGAGACTGAAGAAAATGCGGACAGTATGCCAGCATTCACTGACCTTCACTACATTCTAGCTTATCTGCGAGTGCACTTCTATGGAGTGTCCCTGAGTAGGCCTTCCTCAGATGAACTCTCTCCGTTTTGCCGCTTTCTCAGACTCTTCATGCAAGACTGTATACGAGGCCCTCCAGCACGTCGCAGAATCGAAGCCGCGGGTACGTTCAGTGTCCTGTTGTACAGTAGCCAGTACAATTGAAGCCAGCAAGCAAGCGAGCGCACTCTTGTGTAGACGTACAAGTTCTTTTGTCGCTGTGCAGGCTCTGCCAGAATTGTTGGTCTTGACGGATATCAAAGATCTTAAGAACACCTTAGGTTTGTACAGAATCGCACTTATTTTCGAAGGGCTTGTTCAATTCACTACTCCAGAAGGAAACAAAGTTGACGCGTTTCAACACAAACTTCGCGCAGAGGATGCGGAGTTCGTGCGCAAGCACAGACACCAAGATATATCGTCTACAGTGATGCTAAAGGAAGAGTGAGTGCTCATGATGATGACGCGAGATGGGAATGAATGCTTTGAAGCCGAGTCAGATCCCGGCCAGCTTGTAGAACCTTTCCCCGATGTCTCATGCTGAGCATGTCCACAATTTTTTTTTATCGGCAGGCTTTGTGGAGGTGCGGTGTATTGAGCCGTATCACAAGGAAATGAAGGAAACAAATTGTGTTCCTCCTTTTTGTTCACCTGTATCAATTGGTTCGATTACCAAATAGTAAAATTTATCCTTATGTTAGTGGGCCGTTTGTCCGTGCTTTGGTTGCTTGTGGGAGGAGATAGGCACAGTTGTGCCTCGTCGTAAGCTAGTTCCACTTCCTTGTACAACTGACGAAATATAAAGGTAGTTCTCTTTCGTTGCATGCCATTCCCTCGTACATCCAGCACACGCAGCCAGTTGAGGGAGAAAGATAGCAGCCTACTTCAGCGTGTGAGGTGTACCAGGAGGGTGCCTCACTATGCCAACAATATTTGTAAAAGCAGCAAGGGAAGCTGTCCACTGGATGCAACATCCGAACGCATAAAACCCTGTTGTTCAGGGAGTCAGGAGTGGCAGGTGGTGCACGGCTTTCCAGACTTAGCCCCATGCGCCGGTACTCTTAGGCTTGTTGGCTACTAGTTCAATTATTACGATGTTTGAGCATGAAAGTGCGGCTTTTGTTCCCTGCCCTGTGGGCCCCTGTTTTCGCACCGCGAGTTGCAGCACAAGGTGATTCAATTCAAGACTGCCCTCCATCTCTTCCTCGCCGAAGTTCGTCGAAGCAGCATGCGCCTTTCTAGGCTTACGAGAGATATTTGCTGCTTGTCAGGGAACTACAATAGATAGTGCATCGGCCGTGCTTCTGATCACAACCACCTCCCGCTAATGGTGATTCCCTCCATTGTAGCTGCCAATACGTTTTGAGTTCTGGTGAACACCATGGGAGATGTTGGTTAGCATGCTGACGAAAAACAGCTTCTCACAGCAAAGAGCATACGCAAGAAAGAGTTAGCGGGCACGAGCCAACAGCATACAGCACTCGTGATACAGAATCAGTTAGTCTTCCGTCCGTGTGTCCCATAGTATTTGCACAACTTGAAGACTTTGTCGCAAATATTTTGCGAAACGCAAGAGGTAACCTGCGAAGGCTAGTCACCAGCACTTCGGTCGAGGCGTGCGCATGCATCACCTACTACAGATGAATTACCAATGATTCTTCTACACTAGATTCTGTTTGTACTGCATTCATTTGTAAATTCGGTATGAATAATATTCGTTCAAAACACCTTTTTGCTGTGCTTTAGTGCGCCCATTCATAATATGGGCAGAAGACACTGCACGAGAGTTGTAAAGCCCATGCCCCCATCCCATATCCATTCAGCAGCAGCATTCTTGTCCAGCACTTTCACTGAAACACAAAGTACCCCTAAGCGTTTCCCGAAAAACACACATGCAAGGCACCTCAAAAACCCAATGTGTTTAATCGTCCTATGCGTTTAATTGTCGGATATTAGCGGGCCTCCAGATAAATGCACTACACGTAATCCCTTTATTCACGACAGGTCTGTGTGAACCAAATCGCCAAAGCTTATATTGGATATATTGCTTTCTGAGAAATTGTTGATGAATCAGTAGCCTTCGCGCCTGGACGCTATTTACGCCGCATCGGTGTGCGTTAGTTTCGGAGAGTTTTGCCCAGGCGATTTGCCTTTCCTGAGGTAGCAACAAACATTAGTGCACTATACAATAAAGACACTGATACTATTCACCAATGAGTAACTATACTGCTGTTCCTTCTTCGCAGCTCTCCTTTGCTGGTGACGGTCTGCCCAGTGGGACTGCTGTTGTGCAGGAGGCAGCGAGCGGTGAGCCAGTACCAGAAAGGTTTTTTTGTTGCAGTTTTTGAGGGATTTAAAGGTGAACAATACAGTTACCTAACGTTACTTGGTTTTTTCCCCGGAGGGCTTCCGGTTTTGCCCCTCTCCTTCAAGGGACAGCTGAGCGAGTCAGGCGAATCGAGACGGACGGTAGCCTCTCGACTGGCAAAGTGGAGGAGACCTACACTTGTGGGATTTCAGGGTTACGTTGCGGTAAGAATCTAACTATATAGAGGTGTAAAAGACATCAAAGAAGCTCGTGAGCCTTCATGCGCATCTGTAGCCATCCGGCGTAGGTAGGTAGACGTAGTGAGTTCCTCGACGCGCATATCAAGAGTGATGGAAGCAACCACTCATACTCCGCTACTGAATTTTCCTTTTACACTGAGGTATAGGTTGACTCCTGTTCTGCGTTCATTCAATAATAATACGGCTGGGTATGCTCCATGAGAAAGCCTCCCGTGATGCTTCGCGTGGAGCTGCAGCAGCGGTGCTTACGTGATTAAAACGCTTCGTCTTCAGTGAGGAGCAAGTTTGGTCCCCATTACCTTTTTCTTCACAGATTCTTTACACACAAAGGCTTTTTCGTCTGACACGAGTTGCATTTTTTCTCTGCTATCTGTCGCAGGTTTTTACCCGAAGTTCTCCGAAGGAGGCTGGACAAGGCGTGTGCAACAGCAAACCGTCTCTTCTGATCATATATTGGTCTACGCATTCGCCTTTAGCGGTGGGTTTTATGTACTTCAGCTTGTATCCAGTAGTAGCCCTTGTAGCCCTCTCATTTTCAGTTAATCACCTAAACAGTGGTGCAGATAGCAGAACACTTTCGAACAGTGCTGTGACTACAAAAAAAGGGAACAAAGAAGAGAACATACATACCTCCAGATGAGGGCACAGACTCTGCCATGCTGTGGTGGAGGCACACTGGAGGGAACCCCACCGGAAGTTCCTCAAGTGAATGCCCTCAAAGTGAGGAGTCAGGGCTATCCAGCGTTGCTTCTTCGTTGTCATCTGCGGAGGAGGCTCAATCAGCGGATGTGGGAGACCATATCATAGGGGATGCATATGGAATCAAAGGTGGAGTGCCACAATCCCTTAATGACATGCCTACACGCCCAGCAGCCAACAGGCCTCCGCGAACTTCAGCACGCCGATGTCTGTCGAACAGCCCCAGCAGAGGCAGGAGTCGTTTGCGAGCCAGCTCGTCTTCTATACATTCATGGGGAACTCGTGGGCTCTCTCTGGAAGGATTATGTAATAATAACCCCAGCGGTGCCCGCTCCCCAGCCGCAGGCAGCGACTGGCTCTCCCTGCGAAGTGAGGAATACCTCAGCGCTTGCAGCGACGCACTGAGCTTACCAGCCGGCCCAGAGGAGAAAGAGGTGTCCTTCATCACTGGGACGTCCAGCCCTCAATCCGACCATGGCTCTATTATTGGGCCCCGTCATCGTGGGTCTCTCTGCAGCGGCTCGCGCATGCACACCACATTCCTTCGAGTTGGTCTGGAAAACGGAGGAAGACTGCGGTCATCCCCTGAGGGATGTACTGGAGCATCGGTGAAAACTGCGCCTGCTTCTGTGAGGTCTCTGTCCCTTCCATTGCATGCGCCTACTTCCTCAAAAGCAGGATCTTCTCTCCATGATGGGGCAGTCTTGAGGTCTTTTAGATGGGTCTGTAGGAGCCTTTCCAATAATGGAGAAGGGGAAGACCGCCAGAAGGCATTGCACCGCTCAATGAGAGCCCTTGCAGCTCACCCTTCCTCAGGTACTCGCAGAAGCGGTAGCCACGGCGGCTTCCTTCAGGAAGGTGGAGATTCTCAATTATTAGTTCTTGATGGACGCTTATCCGGTACAGCACCGGTAGAGGCCGGTTGTTCCCAGCACGCTATCGGGGAAAGTAGCGACTGCCGAAGTAACACGGAGGATTATTCCAAGTTTGATACCTGCAGTGGCCAGTTGCCAGCAGTTGGAAAGTCAGACGCTCAGCAGGAAAGTGTAGTTGAATCTGCCAGAGAGGAAAGGGTTGATGACAAGCGGGCGAAGGAGCATGCACTCCCAATTGCAGAACCTGAACGAGCAGAAGCTTTAATGACGCAGGAAGACATGCACGGCACTGACGCCTTAGAATTCCCCGAACATAATATTCTAAGGTCAGCATCGTACGCCTTTGCTGATGACTGGCAAGAGAAGAGCCCCTCCAGTCGTGGGGTCTCCGTGGAGGGCTTTCAAGCATTACCAGAATATCCTGTGGCTCCTCCTCCTGCACAGAGCAAAAACGTAGCTCCTGCTGGAGAGGGCCGTGCGGTTAAATCGCAGCAAGGAAGGACAGACGTCGCTGGGGGAACTGTCAGCAGCATTTCACATCTAGCGGAGGAACTGCAGACAGGAGCTGTTGCGTCAGATCCCGAGTGTGGCAAAGTGAGACGCAGGAACCGCCTCACAACAAGACGGACGCTACAGCGTTCATTTGTCGAGATGGCTGGCCGGTTTGGAACGTGCTCCTTTCCAGGGCGTCGTAAGTCAGGTGGAGCTGCGCATATGTCATGCCGCTATCGAGTAAAGGAACAGACGTATCAAGCCCTAACTCTACACCCTTCTCACGTACACCAAGCCAACCAGCTGCTTTCGACCAGCTCCTTCTCAAAAGGCCAGGTTGGTCAGAATAGTTCTCTAACCAGTGACCACCAAGTGGGTACATCCTTACTGACCAACAACTCTTCTCCAGACACTGGACTGGCAGCCCAAAGCATTCAGGCTGAGTCCGATATAGCTGGGTGGGAGGCTCGGGAGCTGAAGACTCAGACTTTGAATGCCACTAAGAAGCATATCACTACAGGTGATCCACAGAACCATAGGGAAGGTCAGGGCTCTGTGCGGGGCACTGCTTGTGAGGCTGGTGTAACAACATGTAGCAATTTGAGTGTCCCTCTTGAGGCGGCGGAGGGGGCCGGAGGCTTACGAGATGCGTATGGCCTGGCTGCCAAGCCCCCTGGCTACTTACGGCGCCAGGGGGCGAATCGCAATGGGACACAATGCTGCTCGGACGATATAAGAGACGCCCAACCACCACAGGCCTCGCCTACACGCACTGCCCATGAGACCGGCGTATCACCCTGCATCAGTTTGAGTGATCGACCGGACGCAGCAGAGGGGGACGGAAGCTTCCAAGATGCATCTGCCGTGGCTGATGAAGTACCTGTAGAGTTGCAGCGTCAGGCGTCGACTGGCACTGCGGCAGAAACCTCCCAGGATAATACACACAAGGGTGAGGGAGGTCAGGGCTCATCTCCCGAAACTGCTTATGGGGCTGGCGTAACACCTTATAGCAGTATGATTATCGAGGGGTTGGACGAAAAGGCCGGGAACGGTTTCCAGGATGCGTCCGACCTGGCTGGAGAAAATGCTACAGATGCGAGGGCTGAGATGACGAATGTCGGTTTGAGTGGCACTAGGGAGTCTCCGGAGGGATGCGAAAGCTTCCGAGATGCATCTGACGTGGCAGGCGGGGAGCCTGGAGAGATGAAGCGTCAGGCGTCCAGTGACAACAAGGTGAAGAGCTATTCGGATGATACACACAAGGAGCAGACAGGCCAGGGCTCGTCTCCCCGCACTAGGGATGACGCTGCCGCAACTCCGTGCAGTAGTGTGAGTCCGACAAAAGAGGAAGAAGGAACATCGGACTTTTTCCAGGATGCGTTGGATGCGGCTGGCGGGCGGGCTGCAGAGGCGAAGCCTGATGCACCCTGCATCAGTTTGAGTGATCCTCCGGACGCAGCGGAG